GTCAGTTAGAGCCGAGAGTCCAGTGGTGGTCTTACATTGTTACTGCCCTGAGGCAGATTTCATCTCCATCAATGATGCACAACTACCTGTGGGACAGATTCCTCTTGTGTCATCACTTCCCTGCACTGTCAGTTTTCACACACTTGAATGCACATACAATACCTGTAATCTGAAAAAAACCGTCATTATGAAAATTTTCTCATTTCCTGACAGATTCTTAAACCAAAAATGGGGCCATGTAATTAGAACAGGGAAAATCCCAGTGTTATTTTCTATGTTGTTGCAAGCCCAGCAAGACCCCACTGTAGTGAATTTCAGTGCCACAAAAATGACAGTAATAACTAAATCCATCCATCCATTAACTACATGGAGCCAATTCCATCTAAGGTACACCCTGGACAGGTCACCAGTCTGTCACAGTGCTGACACATAGAGACAGACAGACAGGCAATTTAGAGTCACCAGTCAGTTAAACCTGCACGTCTTTGGACTATGGGAGGAAGCTGCAGTACCTGCAAGAAACCTGAAACTTTATACAAGACATTGCATGGGAACCAGCCAGAGCATCATCATCAATATTTGCTTTTCCAATTTTTTTTCAAAAGAAATAATTTTGATGAACCCACTGCAATTACTAAAACAAATAAATCAATCAATCGTTATTCTTTTTTAATTCAGCTGGCCAGGCTCTGTTAACTTGGTATACTAAGACCTATTTCTGTTTCAGTAACACAACCCAAATAGCTTTGTGTAATCTTTTGGAAGGATCTGACACATAATGTGTAAAATTAACAAAATCAACATAACAAGCGGCCAACAATTTTACACCAAATTGCATATGTACAAGCTAGGAGTCATTGATTTCATTTACAGTATGCATCAATAAACAGTGTGTTTCCAATCCCAGGCCCACCACCTCTATCTCACCACGAGAGGTCAGCCCCAAACTGGAGGAACATCGTGTGAATGCCAGCTGCTCTGACCACACCCGTGCTGGACAGGTGTGTGAGTGTAGGTGCACTCATGTATTTGTGTACTTTAGGTGTCTAATTGTAGCTGTGGTCTAGTTTTCCTGGTGGTCTCTAAAATCTCTCCTGGTGTAGTGACTAGGAAGTTGGATTGAAATTAAATGTTATTTACTAGCAGTTTGGTTTTATTGAGTAGAAAACATACTATTAGCATAAGCTCCAGCCTTCTGAGACCTTTTAAGGGAGCTCAGGTCTTTGAGAGTTGTGTATGTTATTCTCAAATCACAAAATAATATATTGAGCACAAAAATGTGTTATACACTTTTTAAAAAGCTATAATCAATATTTTTATAATAACAATGGATCAATGTGAAAGCGCTTATACATTGTGACAAAGCCACAGAGAATTTTCACAAACTTTTCTGTCTTTTCAACCGCAACCTCATTGTTTTGGTTTCTTCTCACCCCTTACATGAAGTTTTCAGCAGGGAGCAGTTTTGCCAGTCATGTCATCTACCTTGTGGCTTTGTCACTATAGGAGCTGTGCTACTTGTGTATGCAGCGAATCCAAAAAAATGCTGCAGTGTACCTGAGGGAGCAGCAGCAGGAAGAGGAGCAAGCTCAGGAGAAACTTCTACTGCTTAAAGAACAACAGAGAGACAAGCAGCTTATGGAGGAAGAACTGGTATGCATGAATGACAGATGACAATATGCATGTCCAGTATGAGCTAAATGCTAGCATCAGCACGCAAAAACATCTTCACAATGACAATGCCAACACTGATCTTTAGCAGGTACAGTGATTACTGTACCTGCTAAACTGTACTGGTTTATTGTGTTATGGTGTAGCACGCTAACATACTTTGGCCAAAGTATTCTGTAAATGTAAATATTCTCTTAAAAGTGTGTAAAATGCTTGAACAGTGTCACCATACCTTTTATTGCATTTCATTTTGGCCATTGGCTTTGGTCAAAGTACTGTTAGCTGCAGCTTACATAAGGTGATTTTTAAGTGTTCTGGGAAATTTCTGTGGTTTTTAGTCATGAAAAAAGGAATCAGAAAACAAAAAAACATATTCAGCCCAAATTGGTTCAGGAACTCATCAGCACACAGAATAAGGAAAATCTCAAAAATACACAATTACAAACAGTACTTGCATTACATTGCATTGCATTAACATGTAATAAATCTATTTTCAAGATTTTGTTTATCCATGTGCTGCCAATTTTTCTTAATCGGAAAACAAACAATACAAAGACTGAAGATATAGAAACTGTTGGGTGCACATAGCCAAAAATAGAAGAGATAAAACTCAAATCATCATGTCAAAACAACATAAAAGCAGCAGTAAAAACTTTAATAAATTAAAAAAAAAAACAGCTCAGCAATGGAGGAGTTAAGGGTGGTTCCAGACTTGCTGGGGCCAGAAAGCTAAGAAGCCTGAGAAGCCTCCATCCCCTTTGCAGCACTGGGAAAGAGGTGTGGGACCTGTGGGTAATTATATCTCAAAACAAATTAGCTAAATGCATGTTATTTTGCCAGTATTATTTCATGGCTCAGCAGAAAACAGATCAGACTCTAATACAGATCAGAATGTCCCTAAGATTCAAATAAGGGGCAAAAGAAACTGCCCTCTGAAAAAATTCACCTTTTATCCTGGTGAGCATGTCACGCTCTCAGAATACTGCTTCTTTTTCAGCCAATATGATGAAAACGCATCAGTGTTTGTGTGCTCGTATGCAGGCAAAGCTGAATGAGCAACGTGAGAATGCAAAGCAGATTGCTTCATTCAACCTGCAAATGTCTGAGAAGAAAGAGAAGACTCCTGTGTACCCTGTGAGTAAAACCTGGTGCGGCTACCAGCTGTTACTCAAGTTAGCCTATGGTTGTAAATGTTTACTAAGCTATGCATCACACATTAGAAACTAGTTACTACATAGAAAGATTAATTTTTACTAAATATTTACACCTACAATCTGGCAGGTGTAATTTTACATACAGTACTGTTAGGTAGCTAAGTGCACTAGGAAACTGACAGAACTAAAGTTAGTGTGCTGATGTATGACCTCGTCCTGTGACTGCTTCAGAATAAAAATTGCCCCATGTTTTCCAGTTGAATGCTTTTATTGTGAAACAGCAACAGTAGGCGCAGTAAGTGAATACAGCTCTGTATTATATAGAAGGACTATTACATTAAAAACACTTCAGACTTCGTGTCATTCTCTACATCTTTTTAGTGTAATAGTGGCTTGTTAAAATTCAGCATTTTCTCTGGGCTGTCTAGACTTCATTCATCTTTCTGGCTCGGCCCCTCACTCCTGCCAGGAGGATTCAGCAGCATCGTTACATGAACGATCTTCAGAGCCAGATAGAAAGTCAGCGGCAGCTCAAGGCTCAGGATCAGCAGAGCCGCATTCTTATGGAGCGTCTAGACAACGACCACCTGGCCCAGGAGTGAGTCTGTAACAGAGCCACTGCTCAGGCATTTCAGCTCATCATCTGTTGTGATAACTAGTGTGTCAAATGGTGTATTATGTGTGTGTGTCTTAGGATAGCTTTGCAGAAGGCTCAGCAGCTCCAGCAGAAATATGAGAAAACTAAGAATTACAAAAGGGCTCTGGATACTCAGGCAAGAAAATATGTTGTATAGTTGGTTTCATTATGTCTCACTCTGGTTAACAACAGCTCTGTTGTTTAAACATCCCCTTCAATATTCCCCTTTGATGCTGCTGATTTTGCAGAGTCCCACCATCAACATGAGATGATGAATGTCCACATGTGCTGTTGTTCAGGTTGAGGAAGGTCATACTGTTGGTCAAAGGAAGGCAGCAGAGGCTACCGCACCCATCCTGCCTTTCAAGGGCATGAGTGCAGTCACACAAACCACTTCAAGCCTGTTTTCAAATGTTCTTTTCCCACAAGCCCCAGTGTATGGCAGCATGGGTAGAAACCTCCTAAATCTGCCATGGTAATGGAGGCCCAACACACATGAAGATATTATATGTCTTTTGTGTGTTGTCACAGCAAACAAGCAAAAACAAATAGGCACTAAATGCTGCTATATAACCATATTAAACAGGATGTGGTTTATTGCACCCAAAGGTGTCAGGGTCACATTATGCTATTAAACTTCCTGTACAATAAAACGGTTATGCCAGCTTACAGTTCCCATTACAAACTCAACAACAGGAAAAACAAGAAATAGCCCCAGTAACAAACAAGCACAGATTACATCTGTAGGGTTTCAGTTATTTACTATAGTTACTGGATTAAAATAACAGGTGTGTATATATACAACTGAAAGTTTGGAAATGGCCTTGCTGTGGCGCAACTACTCATCTTAATTAGAGTTTGTACAAGTGTATTGAAGTCAGGTGTAATTTCTAAGTTTGTGCAGCAGAGCTGACACATCTGGATATCTTGAGCTATTAAATTTCATTAATCATTTTAATAAAACACACGGTCCAGGGGTGTATTATGCCAGTCTGCTCTATAGTAAACTTACATCTGAGATGAGTCTGTTCTGCTTTTTAGGTGGGCAATAAGAAGTCCACAGGCCCTCCAGAGTACCAGCCTGACAACTCAGGGCTCAACCTCTGTGACACAGATAATGCAGAGAGCCGGGAGACGGCACAGAAGGTTACCACGGTTTCTTATTGCTGCCATAAACCTTGCTTTATTTTTGTGGTCTCATGCAGCTGTGAGAAATAACCGTAGCCATAGTTTCATGTTGCAGCTGGTTAAGGTGTAGCTCATTTTAAATACTTACAATAGTATAGTTTAAACTCTATAAATACATCATACTCTACTTGTTGGTCCAATGGTTGGTTTGAAAATATTTTTTATAATATTAATATTATATTATTAGAGTAAATACTAACTACAGGTGTGTCTGATAGTAGTGAAGTAAAAAGTAAAGTATTTCAACATGAAATGTGGTGAACTTGTAGTATAAAGTAAATACACGTGAACAAATCAAGAACATCAGAATTCATGAAGTACAGTGCTTGAGTAAATGTAATTTGTTGCTTTCCACCTTTATCATCATTATTATTATTATTTAAATGAATTAATGTTTTTGTTTTGGCTGCCATACTATTTGTTTGGGCTGCCATACTTACAGATATTCTCAGATTTGTTGGGATGTCTTGTTTTTAAATTGATCTACTGTATGTTGGAGTTGATATGATGTAATTCTACTGTGTATGTTGGCAGCTGTTTCAGGCAAACTTCAGTGCTGCCACCCAGAGGAAGAAGGAAAAACTGCTCAACCGCCAGGCACGGCTGGAGAAAGAGGAGGAAATGCTCAAACATAACAAAATGGAGTGAGTAAAGGAAGGGGCAAACGGCAGAAATAATGGGGCATCATATTCTTCTCTTACTTTTAGTCAGATTCACAAATTTGTCTTACCTGCACAAACCTGTTGAAAAATCACTTGTTTCATTGCTTGACTGTCGGGGAGATTTCATCACTGCCATAATCAATGTTCCTAAAAATGTTATATATGAGTTTAAAAAAATCTAACTGTGGAGCTTCAAGTCTGTTGTCAGAAATCAGGAAACTAAACCTGAACAACTTCACCAGCGTTAATAGTTGCATTAGATGATCCAAAACAAATAGAAAAGGTTATCTACTAATATATCTGTCTGTGACATCAAAGCTGCTATATAGTGACAGAAATAAGGAGGGACTGGTTCAGGCTAAATGAAGTTAGATAAATATACAGACATCTTTCTAATCACACAAAGGCATCTTTCTAAAGCAAAGCACCCAACAATCACAACAGTCACTGAGGTATTAATGTAGACAGCATTACTGCACACAGTAGATGATGATGTGCTGTCAGGTGTTATAACAGATGATACAGGATACAAAATACTAAAATCGAAAAATCACTGTCAGCATTATCTTTAACCTCCATTCAGATTGAGCCACACGTGTTTTCTCCTTGCGACAAAAGGAAGTCTATCTCTTCATGAGTCGTATGACAGACCTCAACCTCTTGTGAATTTTGTTTGCACATAACAGAAATTCTAAGTATGAGAAAACTGGTGAATGACACAAAATCTACCACTTAACAATTAATATGTTCATATGACTGGGTCTTGCATGAGGCCCATTGTTTTTCTGTAAAAACTGTGACATTTTGTCTTTCTTATTCTGTTCCAGGCTAATATTAGACCGCATTAGTCGTTTTGAGAAAAAGCGGGACATCGGTAAGTCATTAGAGGACGAATGGAGTCGCAGTGTGAAACTCAAACATCAGCGTGAGGAAGAGGAGCAGCGCTTCTTGAGGTGCGTGGATGTAGTATCACCTTGATCAGCCATTCGTGGATGATTTTACCTGTGATTTTACCTTTTTTTTCCATAAATTCAAGATGGTAATAGGCTGCTGATACATTGGTGCATCATTAAAGTCTCATTATGTTTCACATTGGGTTTATTCTGAGTAAATGCTCTCCTGATTTCTAGCATTCATAATCTTCATTCTGTCTCCTTATGGTCAGGTCTGCTGGTCAGCTTCTGGTAGATCAGCTTGCTCAGTACAAGCGCTGCTCCAAGTGTAACAGGAGGACCACCAACTTTGGGGAGAGCAACATCTGGAAAGAGTCTCACTACTTCTCTGGCTCACAGTTCATGATCTGATGATCTGTGGCTTACAGCAGCACTCGCAACCTAAAAAAACCTCAACCCTGACAACCCATCATATGATCACTAAAGATTAACATAAGTGTGATGTACTTGGATGTAATGGTGTGCAGTATGTGTTATTTTGTGTTTACTGTGAGATTTATTCTTGCTTCTTTCCTGAAGCAGTCTTTGAATTCCTGGTTGTTTCTGGTACTTTCTATTGTGAAAACAAATAAATAAACATGTACATTTCTTCTTGGTCATTTAGTTTGGTTCGGAGCATGTGTGTGTTAATGGGAGACAGTGTATTTTTTGAGACAAGCTGGATTAAACTAACCACTAAATACTGTACCTATAGTGGTTAGCATGCAGGTGGGACTCACTTCACTTGCAGTTAAGAATCCTCTTTATTGGGTGCAGTCTACATGGATTATAAAACCAGGCCATGTTGTCACCTTCGATTTGTAAAAAAAAAATAAATAAATAAAAAAAATCTGCTTAGGGAAAGTAAAAAACCTACAGTATGGCTGGTATTGTTAAAAGGGATTTTTCTTTAGATTCATTACAGCTTATACTTTGAATATTCATAGTTTAGACCATTACAATTACACAATAGTGGAAAAAACACTACTTACATTTCCTGTTTTTGTCCATGGACATTATTAGCTTTGAACCTGTCCTATATATGACCATGAAAAATTATGGTAAAGTTGTCTATGCCACAATAAATACAGAAAGGTACATAGAGATGAAAAGCAACAAGGCCCAAGTTGGTGAGGACAGAAAGAGGAAAACAAATAATTACAAATCATTGTGGATTTCTTCATAAATCACAGAGTGAATAAAGTGGTAAATACAAGACGATAAGGATGAAAGAAGGTATAGTATGTGACTTGGATATGAGAGGATGGTTTCATGCAGTGGAGTTACTATAGATAATAAATGTTGTGTGGCACAATCATGACAACAATCTTCTGGCAGTAATCCCGGTTCTCTGTGAAACCAGAACTCCCTGAGCTCATGAAGGCATTTGTATTGAAACACATGCACAAAAAATTGCTGCATACATTGACTAACTTACCAACCAAAAGATTCTGTCCCCAAAGGATGTGTGTATCTGTGGCAGTATGTGTATATACTATAAGAACAGAATCAGAATCAGTACAGTCCAGAATCAGATTTCACACATACTGTATCTGCAGTATTCTGCAGGTCACTGAAGTACTTTGAAAGCACTACTTTACCTTGCAGTGTTCAGGTATATCATAAAAAAATACAAATAAGAGTCAAAGACACTGTTATATCTGTGCCAAGCTGCAGTTCTGAACCAACTTTACGTGAAACATCCTCAAGAATTCACCGTCAACAACAAACGTTACTCATTAGTTCCTCCCCTGCCTCAAGTGTTTTCTATGTTGTGTATGAATCACCCATCTCCTGCAAAGTCTTGTATTGTGTTGTATTAGTTATTTAACAAGTCCTTGTTGACTCAGTTGATTTTCCACTACTCTGAAAACCCAAGAAGACTTGTGTGAGATTGACCCATGAAGAACTGGGGACAAGAGTGAACATGCAGGACAGTCAAAAAGAGCCCCAAATCTGGATTGACCATTTCCTCTACACAATACCTAATGGAAGATGTTGTAAGCAACAAACATTAATTAATTGTAACAGACTAATTCATTAAATAACTATTCTTCAAAACTGTCAGAACTATCAGATGGATTTCCATGGAAGTTGATACAGCTATGCATGGTCCCCAGAAGATCAATCATAGTGTTTTTATGTACAACTGATGATCAGAAAAAGCAAAAAGACTTTTTTTCAAGGATAGGGCCGGTAATTTTTTGTCATTTTGTTGTTCTTCCATCTGTTTCTTTCTCCCTGCCCTCAGCTTTTCCTTTGTGTGTGTGTGTGTGTGTGTGTGTGTGTGTGTTTCTGGATTCCCATGCTAGTAGATCTAATGGATATCCATCCTAGTTTTACTGGCAAGCTGAATGTGGTTGGCTTTTTGACAACTAGTGTCCAAGTGTGATTTCAGATCCAGATGTTCCCATCCTGCCCACACGCCATCCCACAATGACCAGAGGATAATCCCCATAAACCAAACATTGTGAGAGAATGACAACTATAATCTAGCATGTGATCTGGTGTTTACACTGTGAGGGAATCTAATGGATAAAGACAGTGTTTGAAAGCCCACTGAAGCAAGCCTTATAATGTAGGCAATATGGTTCTAAATAATAAAATTCAATACACATAGTTCTGACACTGTTACAGTGATTACTGTTTCACCATCTGGGTCAGGATGACATGACATTCAAAATAGATTCTTTGAAGCTCCATTAATCAATACTTTTATATTAACAATTGATGAAAAGCTAAATGAAGATCCAAGAATCTGAAAGACAATAATGATTTGGGGAAAACCATCTGAAGTGCAATCTGTCATTGATTAGTAATTTTCAGCGTATCTGAGAACAAAAGTTGTTTCCTGAAATGAAACCAGTGCAAGTCAGAGCCCAGTAACAATCACGCCTGCTCCCTTAGCCCCTTAACAATGTGTCTTACATCTGAACACGTGAGTGCACACATGCACTCTGTCTTTCTGTCTCCCACAGCCCCACACACAAGCAAAGGACAAATCATGTCTCACACTCTGCAAATCAAAAACTCATCATGTTCTGAATAATATCCTTCTACTTTAGTGAGGTTCCCTCCTTTCCTGTGCCTCTTCGGGTCATAACATACATCCTAATAGTTCACACATGAATACCCTCAACACATACACATGCAATACATGCAAAGAAATGATTTTTACTGTTACTTAAGGGCAGCGCTCTTTGGACAAAACTTCTTCATTCCCTTTCCCTCCCTTTTTATCTCTATCTCTTCCTCTTCTTTCTTCTTTTTACATTCTCTAACCAGCGTAGCCGTTTTCCTTTCTCTCTGTTTCTCCTTATTATTCTCTACATTATCTTTGATCAGTTTACTTCTACATCAATTTGTTCCCACCTGGACTATTTCTCTTCTATCTCCCTTTCATCTCTCTGTTTGTTTGCCTGTCTCCATCGTATTATCTGAGGTTCCTGTTTACCTAATACAACACAAGTGTTCAGTTACACGCATAAAGACACAGCTGCTGCAGGGAGCCCAGCTTGGCAGCAACACATGCAGATCAGTATGGTTATGTCAATGTATGCGTGCATTGTGGTCTGTGGTACAATGCTGTTAAATTGTCCAGTATGGTACAATACACTCGATACAAGTTCTAAAGCTGACAGCTGCTTCACAGCACTTACACTTAACATAATGACTTCCATATTGAGCAGTAGATAAATTACAGCAATGTTTCTCAGTTATGCTGCCAAGATTATGCATGGTATGTTGTTTTACATTTGCATTTCAAACTCTTCAGATCTAAAATTTGCATCATTTTTCTGTTGAGTGTCTAAACGTGTGCATCTACGTATTTTGTTTGTGTGTTGCTAAGAGGTCAGCCCTCTCTTCTGTTTATGGTCAAACTATGATGGCATGGCCTCTCAGAGCACAAGCAGTGGACATGGGAAGAAGGAGAGAGGGTGACTGGGTAATGGAGAGAAAAAGAGGAGGAGAAAGAGAGAAAAAGAACTTGGTAATGCAGTATAGTTGACAGTCGCTCCAGATTTGTCATGTTTCCCCTAAATTATGTTTTAGAAAGTGTGTTATAAAATATTAATGACCTGCGACCCTCTTCAGGATAAGCAGAAATACTTATCAATAGTGACCCCAAAGCGCACCCCCCACCCACCCACACACACACACACACACACGCTGTGTTTTCATTCCTTGTGGGGACTTTACATTGATATACATTCATTTCCTATGGACTTATCCTAGCCTTAACCATAACCTCTACTTGCCTAGCCCTACCCCGACCCTAACCTTAAACCATGTTGCCGCCCTAAAATTCCTTCCTCGAAGGAAGGCTTGGTTGTTGCTGAAGGATGTAATCACCTTTAACCTGCAACACCTTTCTAAGAAGTATGTTGTAGGCCAACACTGCATGACAGTCATTAAAACATCTGCCTGTTGAATACACTTGCATAACACGCCTTTTTGGCAAACAGTATACACAAATACACAAAAGCACACAGACATGCAGGCTAGTCCTTGTGTCATCACCTGTTAATCAGCTATAGCTCTGCACTTGTTCTGTGTCCTTCAATAACTGAGGCGGAGGCTGTTTCCTGATGTTATGAAGAAACAGGTCCCAATGAGCTGCAGATTCAGCTTGAGTCTGACAGCACAATGTGAAAAATTTGTTTGAGTATTAAAATGATGATTTTTTTAACAGTTTGGCAGATAACAACAGAAAGAGCTGCTCAAGGTTTCACCGTGCTTCAGCTGCACGCAGATCATAGTAAAGATACTGCAGCAGCATGACTGATTACTGCTGCTCTGTCTGAATGCAAACAGCACATTCAGTGTCAATGTGTGTGGGTGGGTGTCCATGTTTGAACAAGATTTAGTACAATACTTCCAGTCTAGCATCCGAATCGTCTGCTAGTAATTAATGGAGTCTTGATAGATGTGAACAGCTGGGGAATGGAGGGAAAGAAAAATAGAGATGGAGATAATGTTGATAATCTGCCAAAAACAAGGACTAAGGTCACTCTGCATATGTGTGTGTGTGTGTGTGTGTGTGTTGTGCACCCATATTTGCAAGGACCTACACTTGACAGGTTGCAGAAAACATATCACATTATGAGGATACTTAGTTTCTCATATCATTAGCATTTTAATTTAGGGATTAATTTAAAATGTGTTGAAGTTGATTCTGACACTATACAAAGGCCACTGGATTAATATAGCACTGAAGTGCTACATTAATAAAATTATATATAACATAACATGATTACTCACTGCCTACAAGCCCAGCCAACTTGGCTGCAAGCCATTTTTGCACAGCCCACTGATCCAAGCTGTACATTATGCATTCAACAACATGCAACCCCATCTTGAGATTACAGTAAAAACCCTCAGTGATTTGCAATCATTACTCTTTCAAAAAACATGTCCATGTGCATGTGCACCTATTTTAGTCAAAAAATGTTTTAAAATTCAGTTTTTTATGTGAATTATGTTGTTGGGGGAGAGCACCTGTTGTTTGCACTGCAGTTAAACAAAAAGTATGACAAACCCGTGCAACATTTGAGTATAAAAATATTACTTAGTCTCCAAGTAAGTAAGTAAAATTTGTAACATACAAGTATTTTCTGATTATTTCTGGGCCAACCATTAAATTAAAATTCCTTGTTAAGATACACCATGGGAAGAGGAAATATTTTACAGGTGTCATGCACACTAGATGGAAGAAACTACACAGGGCACAGACAGGAAAAAAGAAAACCCCTGAATCTAAAACTGACCGGATGATACTGTATGAAGTACCAGAATAACACTGGAACATTATTCACTCTCATAAAAATATGGAAAACCCCTTTCCACAATGACGCAGAGGTCTCCCTCCTGCTGTGAACACACCCCTTCCCACACGGATGTTCTCATTAACTCAACATTCTCCGCACTTCCTGATGGCCAGAGATTGTGCCCTGGTTCAAGGTTACAATGGCAACTGCTGTTTCGTGGGAGAAGTAGTGTCTGGGGACAGTGAGTGGTCAAATGATGGCTGCAGAGGAATGTCTGCTGTGGACATAGGCAGACTGCACAGAAAGATGTCTGTAAACATGCTTTTGAGGGCAATGATAGCCAGCAGGTATAATATAAACCATGTTCACTGTCTTAGGGAAGCATGTGGGTACTGGGCAAAATAAATACGTAAACCTAATGATGGCACTAGATCAAAACTCAAGGGTCACCAAAGTTACAATTCATTTTTAAGTGCCTGCACCAAATATCTTGGCAATCCATCAAATGATTGTTGAGATTTCATAAAACTTTTTCTGACAAAATTGGAAAGATCAACTGTCTAATGAGAAAAAATGTTAATGCTCTGATGATCGATTAAAATCTTTGCGAGACGGGTAACTAAAAACAATAAAACTGTTAAACTGTTTGCTGTAGCACAACAGTCTCCATGATGGTTCCTCCTGACAAACACCAGAGAGAGTAACTCTGCTTCTAACTGTGAAGATGGTCATTGTCATGACAAACACTTCAACTCTTACTCCCATCATTTTCATTCTACACACCTCCCACACAGACACACAGATCCTTGTTTGTGCCAGTTACCAGGTTCCTACACAGACCTTTATTTTTGAGGGACCTTAACCATAACCATTACTTGCCTAACCCTAACCCTACTCTAAACCAACGCTCTAACTTTACACCACATCGTTTTCATAAAATTTGACAAACTACAGCATGGGGACCAGCCTCCGGTCCCCACAAGTGACGCTGGTACCCCCACAGCTAGTGTGTTCCCAGTTTCCCATCTCTACAAGTATAGAAAACCAAGACCACACACACGGACACATACACATACACACACAGGGAGAGAGAGAGGTCCCCTGCAGTACAACGGAGATAAATGGGTCTGGACCAGAGAAATGGAGATCATTTCATCAACAGAAGTGCAGAGGGGCACACTTGTGGTCTGCTGGGTATTTATTATGGACAGATATTGGTATGTTGACAGTTTCTATGTTCAAGTTCGTGTCATGTGGTGACATCACTTCTGCCTGGCTAGAAAAGTTTAACCTTTGACCTCTGAGCTGTGATATCATCAGAAATATGGAACAGTGAATAAAAAGGGAGAAATAAATGGATACTGTTACTGTGAGAAGTGGCAGCATAACAGGAAGCCTGCAGCTGAATAACAGTCATTGTTCTGCTGGTGTTCAGGGTTAACTGAGTCACACAGATGAGACCAACATGCACTGTCCCTGCAGCACAGATGAATGCTGTGCATTCCTGTGCAGCATGTTGGCCTTTCCCCTTACATTATACCACATACTGAACCACTTGTTGCTCCCTAAAGTACACGCACACACGCACCTACAGTATTTTGCTGTGGGGCAAGATATTATCTCAAGCTGTGCTTTGTGAGAAATCAGTCTCTCAATGACACATACAGTCTTATGCAAAAGTTTAGGCACCCCTTGATAAATAACAGATTTTGGTGATTTTTTATTTGAACAGATGTTAACACAGTTTCTCTTGGAAATGGAAAAAATGCACAATATTTTCAGCAAACAGTGATGCATAGTTACTTCTTATGCCATAAATTGAACAAAAATAAAAAATAAAAACATTATTATGGCATGGTGCAAAAGTTTGGGCACCCTACACAATCAGTACTTAGTAACACCTCCTCTGGCAGATATCACAGCTTGCAAACACTTTTCATAGCCAGCTAAAAGTCTTTCAATTCTTATACTTGGGATCTTCTCCCATTCTTCCTTGCAAAAGGCTTCTAGTTCTGTAATATTCTGTGGTCGTCTTGCATGCACAGCTCTTTTAAGATCTACCCACAAATTTTCAATGATGTTTAAATCAGGGGACTGTGATGGCCATTCCAAAACCTTCAGCCTGCGTCTCTTGAGGTATTCCATAGTGGATTTCGAGGTATGTTTAGGATCATTGTCCTGTTGTAGAAGCCATCCTCTTTTCAGCTTCAGCTTTTTTACAGATGGTGTGATGTTTGCTTCCAGAATGTGCTGGTATTTAGTGGAATCCATTCGTCCCTCCACCCGTGCAATGTTTCCTGTGCCACTGGCTGCAACACAACCCCAGAGCATGATAGATCCACCCCCATGCTTAATAGTTGGCAAGGTGTTCTTTTCATGAAATGCTGCTCCTTTTTTTCTCCAAACATGCCTTTGCTGATTGTGTCCAAAGAGTTCTATTTTAACTTCATCAGTCCACAGCACTTGTTTCCAAAACGCATCGGGCTTCTGTAGATGTCCTGTTGCATACTTCAGACGTTGGATTTTATGATGGGGACGCAGATAAGGTTTTCTTCTGCTGACTCTTCCATGAAGGCCTTGTCTGTGCAAGCATCGCTGCACAGTGGAACGGTGCACCACCACTCCTGAGTCTGCTAAATCTTCCTGCAGGATTTTTGCAGTCAAATGGGGGTTTTGATTTGTCTTTCTGACCAGCATACGAGCAGTTCTGTCCGAGAGTTTTCTTGGTCTTCCAGATCTCATCTTGACCTCCACAGTTCCCCTGATCTGCCATCTCTTAATTACATTTCTTACTGTGGAAACTGCAAGCTGACAACGCTTTGCTATCTTCTTGTAGCCTTCTCCTGCATTGTGGGCATCAATAACTTTCATTTTCAGGGTCTTACACAGCTGCTTAGAGGAACCCATGGTTGCTGGGTGTCCGCAAGTGTGTGCACAAGGTTTGAAGAGTCAAAGTATTTGTACAGCTTTGAAATTGGCATTTACCAATGACAGCTGTTGCTGTGCATCAGATCTAACGAGCTGATTAAGGTCTGAAACCTTGTGAGAGACTTTGAGACTCTGGAACTCTTAGGGATACAGTTTCAAGAAAGAATATACTTTGCTCAGAGTGCAACAATCCCTGGATGACAGCCCCATTCTTTATGAACACACGCAGGATTTAAAGATGGATTGCATTCACAGGAATTCCTGATATCTGGGGTCTATCTGTGACCGATTGTCATTCTGCTCAGTGTGTGGTTGCTCTCTCAGGGAAGGGTGGACGCTCCCAGTACCTCAGCTTGGATCAAACACAGACCAACCTCAAGCAAAGAAGGTATTTGTGTGAGTCACAGTGTCCTTTGGCAGAGTGCACATTGGGATTGTAAAAGCATGTTTCTGGTAGAACTTGTAAACAGTATAATAATAAATAGTATTTTGACTAGATTTACTATGATTTCTCAAGTCTGTTGCTGCTGTGCCAACTACCTTTCCCCTCATGATGAACAGAGTCTGTGAGAGACAGCAGCTTGAACACTCAGTGGTCTAAAAGAATTATTAAGCACTTTGGGAAATACATGTATTTGTCTTATTTCCAAGAGTGAAATGAGGAGTTACATGTCTGTGTGTTAAATATGTAGCTGAAGACCAGGCATGGTTAGCTTAGCTTAGCCTAAAGACTGGACAGCTAGCCCAAGTCTCCAAAGTAAAAAAATGTGAAAACAGGCACTGCTCAAGCTGACTTGTTTAAACAACATGTCTTGTTTGCTTAATTTGTACATAAACAGATATGCTTAGATGACTTTGTGGTTTTCAGGGGAGTTACCCACTTTAACTATCAGCAGAGATCCCAAGAGGTGACTGCACTGAGTCAAGACATTTTCCAACACATAACTGCCCAGTGAAAGATGATGTAAAGTTTTTGCACAGCTTAAAGGCGACTAATGTGTGAAGGTGCTTTAGAAGAAACCTGAGTATATCATATATCTGAACTCTGCACATATGGATCCTCATTATACTCCATCTCATTCAGTGTAGGAAAGTAATAAGTAACTAAATACATTGACTCAAGTACTTTATTACTTTAAACTTCTACTCCACTATAGCAGGGACAGGAAACATTGTACTTTTCACTGCCCTCACTTGACAGTTATTTTATTAGTAAAGTGTACGTATTCCTGTCGGCATGACAAAAGCACATTGTTAACACATTGTTGGAAACTATTTGTGTTAACAACATGCATTGGTTTGTGAAATCTAATAAGTGATATGTTCAGAAATTTTCTTGTAAAAAGGGAGAAATTTAGAAATAATGAAAAAATGTAATACTGTGCAAAGGTTTAAGGCACTTCAGATGTTCAGGATTTTATCCATCACTCAGTATCATCAGGGAAGAGTCTGATCTATCCCATACTCATTTTGCAGCACAACAATGATTTAAAACATACAGCCAGAGTGATAAAGAATATCTGCAGCTACAAGGAGTACAAGTCCTGCAACAGATGGTATGGCCCCCAGAGGCCCCCAGAGACCCCCAGACTATTCATGGCATTATTTTTGACCCCCTCCCCCACTTTAGTTTTAATACCTAAAACATGTGCACAGTACTGTATGTCATAACATGAAATATACATTTTTAAAATATGAAAAAGATCTTCTGTTATAATGAAACCGTAGTGATTCTTTTGTCATGGCGAGAGCAATACACTACTGTACTTCACGTTACAAACAACAACTAAAGCCAGCGTTTGCATCATCCTGCAGAGTGCCTCAGAGGACCTTACAGGCACACATCAGTACTGGTTCACAGGAGAGTATAGATCTGGCTCCATATTTCTGTCCAAACCCAACCCTAACCCGAAGTTTGCGCAGTGTTTTTCTAGGCCGTTCATGCATGAATTATGAAAACCACGGCCAGGATTTTTTTTCCCTCAGTAGTTTTATTTGGCATAAAAAAATGAACTTCTTTTTTTTTACATGCTTTTTTCCAATTTAGTGGACAAATGATGAATCATAATTTCCTCCTAAGATCAAATCAGTCATCAGCCTTTCTGGCTTTCCATCAGCTGTCTTGGTTTTGCTATTAACAATGGCTGACCAGTGGGTGGCAGGGTATGGGATGACACACTAGTGTCCACTGTAGTGGGTGATATGCAACTACGCAATCAGAACAAGAAAACAGCTTTTAAATAGCTGTCCACTGTAGTGACCACTATGCATGAAAGGGCTAGTATGGCCCTCATGTGCCTGATAGCCCAAAGCAACATGGCCACAATAGGCTCATCATTTTCATTTTTAATAGCACTTAGATTAAAGAAGAAGCATGGGTTCATGTAGTCTGTTTTATAATTTGTAATTACAACTAGCTATTGTTTGAATTGCATGGCCAAACCCAACCTGAGCCCAAACATGATTTCTAAATTTCTGTGTGGATCTGATCCAAACTCTCTGGTACTGATGGGTCCTGTTAGGTTCACTTCTGGTGTCCGCCCTCTAGCTCTCAATCCGGCCAAAAATGTTCATGAAAATTCAGAAAATCTCAGGAGAGGCAATCAATAAGAGCTAAAGGTAAGGGGAATAAAGCAATTACCAAAAAAGAAAAAAAAAACATTAACATCAATCTGCTCCTTTTCGTCATTCCCTCTGCATCTGTGCTGTGAGATCATGAGACTGAAATATCAGACTGCACTCATGAGCAGCATCCTGTTACCACATGTATGTTAAATGAAATTCTGATTACACTGACCTCATGAGTAGAAAATGATTTCAAAAGGGAGGGGTGAAGAGTTCAAATTATCATTACCTTGTAAATAAACTAATTTGTTCAGACATCAAATTACATGACACCACAACTTAAAAAAAGAGCAACAAAAAGCCACAACTCCTGGTGCATGTCATGTTTTGTCCAGTCTTTCACAAGGATGTGAGTCATTTTCCAGTGAACCACATTATCACATGTCATGCCAAACCAAGGGGTTTACCCTTAATCACAGTGCAGAACTACTTTCCTGTAGGCGAAAATGTGATTATAGTTCTTTCAACAAAAGCATTTGTCTGTGAGAGGACACTGGGGGAGAGAAAGAAGTGCTGTGACTTACAATGAAAAGAAAGTATTGCTTGTGTGCTGTTTCACATTATGATTCCCTGTTTCTTTAGCTTTTGCTCTTTGAATTGAATGCCATACATTGTCTGTGTGACTTTATGCAAACACGTGAACACTAAAGAAAAATCTTACCAGGCTCATCACTGCCCTCTATAAAGTGTCACTGCTGCGTGTGGTCAGAAACGTATTCAGTTGCACCTGTAGCCACACCCAACGGAGACGTTGCTGCAGCAAGAGGACAGGACTGGAGAGCAGAAAAAATAAATCAATACATCAAAAATGATTTTCAATGGGTTTAAAGTTGTTCAAGAAAGAGTAACTGCCCAAATAATCCTGTTGTTTCTGACCTCCAGGAGTTTAATGTCTGACCTCGCCACACTGATGTGCAGATGGGCTCCATGATGTCACTCTACCAAGTGCAACAGAGCACGTTTCTGACCACACCTAGCCACATCTGCAGGTACAGTCAAAGGTAAAACAGGCCTAAATCTTTTAACCAGAGAGAGAAGTGAAACACTGCTTTCAACAGGCTGATATGGTATTAGGGTATCACAGACATAGTGACTGTGGTAAACATGATAAATAACAAGCAATTACAATACACAAATGCCAGAGATATGTTTTAGAAAATTATTCCACATTTTGTCCACAAGAGAGCACTAACACTTCTAAATTATTTAACTACTTTCAGAAAGGACTCCATCAGCTCAACTCTCTCTACATGACTGATTTTACTGTGTCGACATTCCAGTGTGCAACCATGATGTTGAGATTACAGTTTGTATTCAATGTGTTCGCCACAGGAATCCATTAAATGACATTTATTATACATGCAGGGTGCAGAAAAGTAAATACTCCAAAAAGTAAACTAGAAGACTTCACCAAAGAATAATTCCTGGAATACACCGAGGATCAAGAGCGGAAATTTCATTTAACTACAGCTGAGTGAGATGGTGTTTGCCATCTTTTGCATGAGGCAAGTTACACATATATCAAATGTGCTAGACAACGCTCACTGTAAATCATTGTGCTTTGCACTTTGCCTTGAGCTTTAAACTTGGCTCAATATCGCCCAAAGATTTCACAGCAAATAACTTCTCAAAAGTTGTCTGTTCTTATCTCATTTTGCCAAAACAGCTGTTTCATGGCCTCTAGGGACAAGCAAGAGAAACGGTCCAGGATGGGAGCGATGATTCAAACAGGAGACTGAGAGGCACAGAAATGGGGAAACACATAGAAGGAAGAGAGAGAGAGAGAGAGAGAAATAGATGGACATGAGAAGAGAGAACTCAAACATATGAGGCCATACACTTGTTTGATTGTGTCTTTGGCCAGAAGCAGGAGGAGGACAGTGGGAAGAATAAAACAATTAACACGAGCAGTACTCCGGGGAATGTGGGTTTCTCTGACAACAGCAGGCATAGGCAAACAAACTGGCCCTTTCATAACAATTCAAACAGCACTGTCTCCCTTATTAGCATCCAGGCACAGACAAAAAAAGGCTTCCTTTCCTGTTGTTCTAAAGAAGGATTTTCTGTTTTCTCCCAGATTTCCTCTTTAATTTTCTGTTCAGCTTCTGCAAGCCATATTTCGAATGTTTCCCAAATGTGGATATGATTATTATCAAACAGAAAAGGCTGATCTGTTGAAATTGTAAGAAAATTACTACAGAGAGTTTGGTTATAAAACCTCTGGTAACTTTGGGTTCATGTGACAATGTGACCAACTTGCCGAATTGACCAGAGTTACTGGAACGAGAGGAGACACTCCTGCCCCAGATACTGTTCCAAAGAGAGAGAGATATTTGTGTGCAGACATAATGTGTGTGTTATCTGTAAATTTGTGCTGTGAGGAGGGTGGTGTTTTGGGTTAATCAGAGCAGTGTTTGATGAGCCAGCAGGTCCACCCTTTGTTCTGGCAGAGGTGCTGAGCTGTAATCAGTTACAGGAGCCTGAGTTCAGTTAGATGAGAACACTGATTCCACTGTTGTGTCTGTACAGTCTTCTCCTCCTGCTCTCCTGTGTGTGGAAGATCCACAACTCATGTTCTCCCACTGAGTAATCTACTCACCTGTTACTTACCTGTACCTCCAGCTCTCCTGTGTGTGAAAGACCTCCACTTCACGTTCTCCTGCTGAGTTAGCTATTCACCTGCTGCCTACCTGTATTCTTGCTCACTGGTGTGTAGAAGAATTACACACCCCTCACTCTGGCTGGTTGGGTTTCTCATCGGCTGCTTTCCAGTCCTCATGTTCACTGGCTGCTACTTCTCACCGAACGTCTCTGCTCCAGAGCTGCTCAGTTGTCCCTTACCTCTTGGCCGCACTTAAGTTAAGCCTCCTGAGTCCTGCAGTATTAAGAGCCTGGCTATCATCTTCTACCGTTCCAGCCTCAGCTGCCTTCACTCCTCTGCTCCCAGTCCTCCACTGTCCACCAGCACTGGGTTCCTCATCCATATACTCCCCATCTCACCTCAACCTTCATCTGCCTCTGCCTCATCTTCATTCCACTTTCGATGGTCCTCCCTCCTGCAATCCTATGTTGCTTTCTTCGTCATACTCACCAGTAGCCCTGTTGACTTCTCCCCGTTCCTGTGACCTGCTGGGTTGGAACTTCCTTGCCTGCCTTATCTTAATAAAGCTAGTTATCAACTCTGGGTCTGGAGTGTCTGCCTATTGGGTTCCATTTGTACCTGTTCAGCCCGTAACACAGTTTTAATGACTTCAACCTTTTGACTTTAACTGTAGTTTTAAGGTGTTGGTTGATTTGTGGATGCCGGCCCAATGTAATTTCATTCTGCTGTTGACCTATCTGGGGAATAGCTTGAATGACAGTTAATCTTGGATGGAGCTCAGCCAGGCCAACTGTTTCCAATGCTAAGTTTAGCTAACCTCCAGTTACAACATCATCAAGAGAAAAACATTAGAGTGACACTGATCTCTTCAACTAACTCACCAACACAAAGCACCTAAACATTTTCCAAATTGTTGAACTCAGCCGCATATAAATTCTGTGCATGCTTCTCATGAATGCAATAATTGTTGACCTTTTTCATTACAAAATGCATCTATGAACAATTTGCTGAAGGACAGGGAGGGATGGTGGAGGTTAGCCAACTGTCCAGCCATGCATGACTCCCCACTTTCTACCCCCACCCCTCTTGCTCTTTTTCTTTATGTCTTTCTGGGGTCAGCTGAGCCTACTGAAGTCATTACATAGCAAAATATTTACCAACAGCTTGCACATTTCCAGCATGGGTGGGTCAAGTGGCAAGGAAACTTCCAACATTGGCATCAGAACCCCACTCCTCCCGCTGGAATAATTCCTCAGTGGCAGTAAGGTCACTTTTGAATGAAAATATTAGAGAGAACGGTCACAGCTGCATGATGTGAAATAAGAGAATTTTGTTGTTAAATAAAAAGCTTTCTCACAAAAGTCATACTGGTGATTAGCCCATTTGTTTGGACAAAACACTGATGTGTGCTACGTAATTTTTTTAATGAATCCTTTGACAGCATTTGTGGATGTACTTGTGTATGACAGAGACACCTTGAAATCGGGGTGAAAGGAGGGGGAATCCCCAGTGGAAAGAATGAATGTGGGTCGATGTTTGTGTGAGATAGGTCACAGTATGTGAAATGTCTCATATTTTCTCTCAAATACAAACATAAACACAGTTACTCTTTCTGTTCTATCATCATATCGAATCTCTACCACATTTCTTCTTCCACATTCTAGCAGTTTTGGACAGGCACTCATCTCAGGCCAGCTGTTTTGTTCCGTCCTGCTGATAACAAAACTAGTGGCTGTAAAACTGAGCAACCCCTCACAGCTTGTTTTGTCAGTTCTGAATGTAAATGAAAAGGTAATGCTAGAAAGACTTCATATGAATATTCATTTTCACTGTGGGAAGTGGCCTAAGGTCACAATGAGACATACTTTAAATACCTTGGTCATGGTCACTAACTAAACCAAAGGACACTGAAATTCACAGTGCATGTCCTTAAGTTAATAGATTACCAAGAACAACTTGTGGGTTGCCGGGTTGCTTGTAGAAGGTATTTATAACAAGAAACTTGACCTACTGTTTTATTCCTTGGGAAGACTACCCAAGGGACCACATACCTTCTGGAAACTCTTGAAAAGTTATTAATATTTATAGCCACAGACTTTCTAACTTATTAAAAACTATGAATCTCATAAGAATTCGCCAGTGGATTACCAGCATTTACAACTACATTATTAGTTATACATTATACACCCTTTAAAATGGGAAAAGAAAATGTATGGCAGTAACAAAATGATTCCTATGAAGATTTGTACTTAAGCAACTTTTCAACCAATCAGTCGAGCAACAGAAGTTAATCAATAATAATTTCAGTAATATGTATAATTACAATATTATCTGTATTTATTGAGATTTAAAGGAGAAATTCAAATGCAGTTCCCTCTTTTCATGTCTAAGTGTTTGCAGGTTGTTGCACACTGTATATCTCTCTGACAGAATCCATTTGAGATGTTATTGTTAAAGTTGATAAATGCAATCTTGGTCTCTATCAGATTGTTTGGCCATTCCTTTCTGAAAACTTACAAACTAAACAATCTATTACAAGCACGGAACTGATCATTAGATGCTGCCCTAGTTGGAGCTGAGTGATGTGACAAACAAAAAAGTGCACTGAAGATTCTCACAAAGTGGAACGTTTTTTAACAAATACATCAGATTTAATAAAATACAGACGTGGTTTGATTTAATGATTAGCCTTAACTCGCTAGTGAACCTAAGAGAAAGGAGTCGCCTGAAAGCTTTTAACTATAACAGCAGCGGTGATGTGATACGTCACATGACCCAGTTGGGGTCGGACATACATACACTGCAGATGCGGCAGATGTGACACCCACTGTGCGCTCAGACAGGAGATCTCCTCCACCAGCTGCGCACAATGATCCAAGTCCTCCGGCTTCCACTCTGCTGCTGCTCCTTTTGGTCGACTCCAAAGTGTCACGGATTAAAAAAAACTCGCTAGTTCCCGAGGGAAGGGCCGAGAAGACGACTGATCCCTTTTTTTGCAGCGAGTGTAAGCGGTTCAACTCCCATCGCAGGTTTTCCCCTCCGTGTTCAGCCACTAGCTCACCTGCACACCTTAAACCATGCGCCCCCGGGCTGCGCTTCCCCGGTAAGTTTCCTCTATGTGAGGTTTGTCTTTGCGTAAACTGCGTAAAAGCTGTATAGGACGAAGTCATAAAAGTAATCAACTGCAGTTAACATTTCAACGATGAAACAGTAAATAAACCCGATGAAAGAAGACTGAGTGTGCAGGAAATTCTTATTTTCCTTAAATAAATACATAAAATATGACCTTTTACCACGTGTTGCAGGATACAGAAAGGATTTTAACATTAAGCTTCTCTGCATCATCTCCATTGGCAGTTCTCTATGTAGTCCCATACAGAGACAGCGTTTAAGATGCAAAACTTGTATCATCCCTCAATAATAAAAAAAAACAGTCTATATTAAATATTTGATTTGATTTATTCTTTCAAGCATGTAAAGACAGTTGATATATCAACACACATAATTTTACACATATCCAACAAATGCTAATCCAATATCAATTTGCTTATACCTAGTACATGCTTGAATGGAGTAGGAAGAAGTCAGACTTATCCAGTCCTACCCCATGACATCATCTTACCATCATTGGTTTGCAAGCAGTATCTCTACATAAATAATTCTCTTCTACACCACACAAGTAATATACTAAAGAATTATAACAGAGTGTTAACATTCGTACATAATTACATTCTTAAATATTTATATTATTCAGCCATTCTTGAAAGCTTTAAGCAAATCCCTTGGGCCACTTTAGGAATTTTCCATCAGAGCCTAGTAAAGTCTGACCTTTGCCCTGTCTGACATATTTGCAGTATTAAAAAAACAGAGGAAGTTTACAGCTGCCAAATTCCAGCACAGATAAAACATTTTCAACTTCAAATTCTCTCTCAGCTCCCATGCTTCTAAAATCCATGATGCTGGCTTTAGAAATGAGTTTTTTTTTCATTCAGCCAGTGAGAGTGGGCAGGACATCTGGTCACATTTAACAGAACTACTTGGGTTCTATAACAATTTTGGGTTTGATAAACTGCATCTTTTATACTGTACATTAGCTCATCTGATCTCTCCTCCTGCCCATTCACAGGTTTACCTCCCTCCTATTTCTACTCTGCCTTGCCCCCTTTTCCTCGCCCTCCTCTCACCCCCAGTGGACTCTACAGCGCGTCCCTGTGATCCTCCCACAGCACACAGAGGATCGGCCTGAACCTCACTTTCTGTATCCAGCCCGTCTGGATGTCACCTCTGCCTGTGACCCAGAATGCCACAAGAGAGCCCCTCGCCCAAGCTACTGGGATCTGCGGCATCTTCTGTCCTATGAGACTCTTCACTCTGATGGTCGACTCACCGAGACGGCCATTGGGATCTATGGCTACAATCCCAGTTCTAACACCAGTCCGGCCTACTCCTCAGATTTGTCTGCGAAGGCTGAGAGGTCACACGTTAGGAGAAAGCGACAGATCTTTGGCCATGATGGGCGTTTTAGCATTGCTGGGCAGAACTTCCTCCTTAAATATCCATTCTCAGTGGCTGTCAAACTATCCACTGGGTGTTCTGGTACACTGGTGGGGGATCGCCATGTTCTCACAGCTGCTCACTGTGTTCATGATGGTAAAAACTATGTGAAAGGAGCCCAGAAGCTCCGGGTTGGCTTTTTAAAACCAAAGCAACGAGACACACAACCTTCTTCCTTTTACCTTCCATCCAACTTCACCAACCATATTGAAGGCAGCCATGTTTCTTATGCCCCAGCAACTAATGACAAAATGAAGTTTCAGTGGATCAGAGCCAAACGTACCCATGTTCCCAAAGGATGGATTAAAGGAAATGCCAATGACATTGGGATGGACTATGACTACGCTTTGCTTGAACTCAAGAAACCCCACAAGCGCCGCCACATGAAGCTAGGAGTCAGCCCCACAGCTCAGAGGCTGCCTGGTCGAAGGGTCCATTTCTCAGGATTCGATAACGATCGTCCAGGCCAGCTGGTGTATCGGTTCTGTCCTGCCGGTGAAGAAACGTCAGACCTGCTGTACCAGCACTGTGATGCTCAACCTGGGGCCAGCGGCTCAGGAGTCTATGCCCGGATGTGGGATGGGAGGCACCAGCGTTGGGAGCGAAAGGTGATAGGGGTGTTTTCTGGGCATCAGTGGGTAGAGCGACAAGGGGCGTCTCAGGAATTTAATGTAGCAGTGAGAATCACACCCCTCAAATATGCTCAGATCTGCTACTGGATAAAAGGAAACTTCTTGGACTGTCGAGAGGGGTGAGGAAATCGAGGATGACAAAGGTGTAGCTACAAATCCATAGGTCCACTACATCCACAAGAATCCACACTTTTCACCACAACTACTTGTGGCACTGACATAACATAAAAATAAATGTCTCGTTGCCCCTCTTCTCAGACACCAATATCAGTAAACACAGACCTGACAGACATACATTCAGCAATGACAAAACACTGTCAACAGGGTGCGTTCAGTTTCACTTATGCTTATTTGCAACTTCACTTACATTTCTCAAATATGAAAATATTAGTGTTAACTAGCCAAACACTTCAGATGTGGTTTGCAGAACATAACCAATTTCTTCTAGGAACATTTATCTAGGTAACAAAATTATCTGCAAGCCCCTCAGATCCGGAATATGGACTGAAGCCCCAAGGAGAGGGGACTGGAAAAGAGTTTCACTATGCATTAAAGCCTTTTTTGAGCTTATACTAAAGATTGCACTGTTAAAACGTTCTACTGAATTTTTTTTTTTTTATGAATGTACAAGTCAACTACCAAAGGTGCCAACTGTTCTCTCCAAACAATCATGTATTGCTACTAGCTACATAACCTGACATAATTCTAGACACACTTTCCCATTCAAATCCATGAGAAAGTGTCCAAACTTTGGAGTGATAGTGCATCTACAAACATAGTTTACTGTGTCAGCTAAACTGACAGACAAAAAAGATCTGGAAGAACATTGAACTTGTCACAAAGACTTATGTTAAACAACTGCAGACGACTCTTGCCAAGACTGCAGATTAGTTATGAGGCACATACTGTACTTCAGTGCTCCCTCATGTGGCAAAAATACAACACTGCAAGTAATGAATATTATGCCAACGTAGCTTAGGCCTTCATAAGCACTTTTTACTTTCTCTTCACTTTTGTGACATTGCATTATTTGTGTGAAACTGAAGACTATAGCAAATTTAATTAAATATATGCTTTGAAACAAGTAACTGTCACAAACTGTGTTTCTTCCAAGTCTGCTCATACAACACGTTACAGAAATACACACAACCCTGGTTTAAACACCGTGTTTTATTTCACGACAAAAATCATTTTCAGAAATGCTGTGGCGAAACTGAACACTGTAAAAGGCTGAAATGCGAAGATCAGCTCCCATGACATCTCCAGCAGCGACACATTCAACATCCAACCAGGATTCTGAAAATGCATCCTGAGACACGATGTGTGAGAAACTGTGACTCAATTTGTTACTCTTATAGTAAATGGGACACAGATCGATATAGCCCACAGCAATATTATTTTGATCCTTTATCCAAATTTCATGTAGGCTTGAAGACAAGTACATTTGAGGGTAACATGGTCAAGAGGTGATCTTAAAATCTTTTAATTCCTCAATTCTTTATTTCTTTATGCTTTTATGGGTTACCTCCACACAAAGACAACATGTCTGTTGGGCAAAGACTTAATATTTAAGTAAGAATTGACATTTACACCAAACCTTAAAATGTTTCCTTTCTGTCTTATTGAGATGCAGGCAAGTTAAAGATGACGTACAGTTGAAGTCACAAGTCTACACACCTAAGGTGAATACATTAAAACTCAGTTTATCACAACTCCTGACATTTAATCCTGTCAACATTCCCTGTCTTAAATCAGTTGGGGTCACTACTTTATTTTAAGAATGTGACATGTCAGAATAATAGTAGAGAAAAAGATTTATTTCAGCTTTTATTTCTTTAACCACATTCCCAGTGTAAGTTGGGTCAAATGTTTCAGGATGCCTTCCACAAGCTTTATACAATAAGTTATTGGTATTTCCACCCATTCCTCCAGACAGAACTGGTGGAACTGAATCAGTTTTGGAGGCCTTCTTGCTCACACACGCTTTTTCAGTTCTGCCGACAAATTTTCTGTTGGACTGAGGTTAGGGCTTTGTGATGGCCACTCTAATATCTTGACTTTGTTGTCCCTAAGCCATTTTGCCACAACTTTGGAAGTCTGCTTGGGGTCATTGTCCATTTGGACATGACCCATCTGTGACCAAGCTTTAACTTCCTGGTTGATGTCTTGAGATGTTGCTTCAATATACCCACATAATCCTCCTTCCTCATGATGATTTGTTTTGTGAAGTGCTGCAGTCCCTCGTTCAGCAAAGCGCCCCCACAACATGATGCTGACACCCCCGTGCTTCACGATTGGGATGGTGTTCTTCTGCTTTCAAGCCTCCTCCTTTTTCCTCCTGACATAACGAAACCAAAAGTATGTTCATCTCTAGAAGACAGAATGAGTCTCCTTCCTGAGTGGTGTGAAGGCTGCATTGTTCCATGGTATTTATACTTGCGTAGTGTTGTCTGTACAGATGAACATGATACTTTCAGATGTTTGGAAATTGCTCCCAAGGATGAACCAGACTTGTGGAGGTCCACCTTTTTTTTTTTTTGGCTGATTTCTTGATTTTCCCATGATGCCAAACAAAGTAGCACTGAGTTTGAAGGTAGGCCTTAAAATACATCAACAGCTGCCCCTCCTATTGACTCAATTGATGTCACTTAGCCAATCAGAAGCTTCTAAAGCCATGGCGTCATTTTCTAGAGTTTTCCAGGCTGCTTAAAGGCACAGTCGACTGAGTGCATGTAAAATCCTGCCCCAATGGAATTGTGATATAGTGAGTTATAAGTGAAATTATTTATCTGTAAACAACTACTGGAAAAATAGTTTCATGCATAAAGTGCATGTCCTAACCAACTTGACAAAATGACAGTTTGTTAACAAGATCTCTGTGGAGTGGTTAAAAAAAAAAAAAATCTGTTTTAATGACTTCAGCCTAAATGCATGTAAACGTCTGACTTCAACTGTAAAACCGGAACCATTCAAAACTGATTGACGGTGCTGAACTGCACGCCATCCCTACCATTTACAAAAAGATGCCAGTTTAAATAAACATGACCATTCAGTTGCAGAATTTGCTACATTCAAGTGGAAAATGACTGTAAACAGAACAAAAGCACCAAGGACCTGATTTAAAGGCAAAGTAATGGCCAGGTAAAAAGATTCCACACGCTCCTTCTGTGATCCAGTTGTACAGGTTGATTCATCTCATAAGTAGTTTCTCAACCTCATTTAGACTCAACCTGAAACTTGACTGAACTAATGTGAAATTCACAACAGCACAGGAAATAGATTCTCACAGTTTCTACTCAGACTCTACCCCGGTGATGTTCAAGCTGCATTGATTTCTAACTGAGTGCTGAACAGTTAACAGTCCTGAAGCTCATCCTTACTACTGCCTGGAGTTATGTGCTGCCTGTAGATTAGAGCTGGTGAAGAAGAGGCAGCTCATGAAAAGGAACCCATTTGAGAGTAAAAGGATGTTCACCAAGTGTGACTAAACAGAAAGGCAAAAACACGCAAGGCAACCTGTTTGTAATACCATTTCGGTAACTGAGAATACAAGAACTGGTAATGAGGTACATGTCCAGTCTTTCCCCTCCAGCTGTCTACAATGACTTTGCATTCATAACCAATTAAACACTCATTATTAAACATCCCCTGATATCAAATCTATGTAGGAGCACGATGGCAATGACACAGTTTCAGTGGGAGAGAGCTTAGATCCTGTGACATGCCAACATAAACCTTTATTATTAGCCACATTCTTTCTGTTATCTGTATCCAGTCCACAAAGGGATGAACCTGATGTGTTATGGAACACAAAGAAGATCTCAGCATGTCAAAATGTGGTCAGACATCAGTAAAGGTTTTGACTCTAATTACCGCCTGGTAACAGCAGCAGCCCTTCAAACATTACAGTGTTTAAGTAACTGCAACCAAGACAGGCAGGCAGGGCTGGATGACAAAATAAAAACACCCACTGTCAAAGCATGTTTTGACTTTTTTTTGGGTGTGCTTGGAGTTTAGGGATGCCAATAGTATCTCAATCTCTTCTCACTTGTGGCAGCTTCCTTTAAGTTTGTAAAGAGTGGGGATTTAACTGCCGCTCCAGATACCCAGTGATGTGAAACAAGCAGATACCGATAGTAAAAACACAGTAACAAGGTGAATGAGGAAGTATACAGCATTCTCTGCAGAGGCAGTGGAAAGGAGTACCCAAGGTAATTTTATACGGACTGATCTCAAGTCAAAGTTTTATCTGATTTTGTGGAAAAAGTCCTCAATAAGGATCTGCTTTAAGGAGTAGTTGGCTATTCGGGGTAATTCACATTCTGGTACAGTTAGAGAAGATCAATACCACTGTCATGTCCGTAGGGTAAATACGAAGTAACAGCCAGCAGCCGGTTAGCTTAGCTTAGCATAAAGACTGGAAATGGTTGGACGGCCACCCTGGCTATGCCACAATGGTACAAAATCGGCCTGTACTCTTTAACAAACTAATCTCAATTTGTCTAAACCTATAAAAACAAAAGTGTACAAACAATTTGCTGTTATGCTGGGTTATGTGCTGCACCATATCTTGGTCATTCAAAAATATGCTCTATACGAAAAAACTCAGCACATAATGCTCTGTAACATCTCAAACAATTGTTTTTATACTTTTTTTTTCTTCTAATTTAACAAAGCATTTACTGTACGAACATAAGAGGGGTCATCGATCCTCTCATTTAACTCTCCATCCAAAAGTGGAGACACCCAAACATTGAACTATTCCCTCAGGACCGATGACAGCAAAAACGCCAACAAATTGCTCCAGCAATGCTAAAATGATTAAATCATCCTGTTAACCAAAACAATAAATGGTTTCAAATGTAAGACTGGTGAGCCTCAAGGTAGAAGCCGATATAAGCCAAATCAGGTTTCAGGATTTCTGGCATGTTTCCTCCCACTGCCCATCTTGTTTAAGTGACCATCAAGGCCAAGTCAGCTCTGTGATCAGCCACCTGCACTTAAAATATCTTTGGTGAAAGTTATCGCCTGGCAACAACATAACTCAACATGCTAATGTCTTCAGCGTGGTAATGCCCGGCAAAACTTGAAATAGTATACAAAATAAAAATATTCTTTTAAATAGGTATATATAAACATTGCATTAAAAATAGAACCGTATCAAAACACAATTATGAGTTCAGTCTGTCTCTTAACCTCCAAACACGAGCAATAAGCAACCCTCCGCCCTTCCACTTCACCAGACCTCCACCCATCTCTACTCCACATCCAGAGTTTGCAGCTGTGGAGCCTTTTACTGTGACTTGAGCCCCAAGCTGTTGGAGGACAGAGGGTAGGAGTAGGCTCTGCCAAGCACAATGCGGTCTCTGAGCAGTTTAAAAAGGACATAGTAGTTGCAGAAGAGAATCAGGCCTAGAGACAAAGTGTGGTTCCAGCGCTCAGAGCGCAAAAGAGAGTATAACTGGTACAAAACTACACTGGACTCGATCCAGATCAGCAGGTTCAGGATCCGCAATGGCTTGTGGAACAGGAACTGCAAGACCAACAGAAAGGGACAGAAGATCAGAACAAATGATAGAGGATGCAGAGGGTCAAAGATGGAAATATTTGATATACAGGGGGTGGACACAATAAAATAAACACTTGTACAATATAATACAGGATTATAAAGATGATATCCTCAGCCTGCGTGTGTAGATGCAAAAGATAAAAGCCCTTAAAACAGAAGTTATGCAACTTAACTCAGTAAATATGTGGCTATGCGATAAAATTATAATTTCTTCTGATGTTGAAAAGGTTGGTCTCTTCTTCAGGAGAGGTGATGTATTTTCTCCCTTAAAAGCGAACCAACACTATAGTAGCTGTATAGTTTATGGTATTGTTGTACTGTATTCCATAGCTGTGCTTATTATTTCATCCACTCTTGTCTAAAATGTACAGGTTATAGCCACTGGCACTATGATATAAAGCACACTTACATAAAACCTCGCATGGGAAACATCAGAGGGCAGAGCGACATTATAGGGTCCGACTGCCTTATACAGACTTCGACTATGTCGTACCAACACCCCCTGAGGCCAAATGGTGCTTTCTGACCACCTGCACACAAAGCATTTTAAAGTCATATTTAAACCTCTGCGAGTATACAAATGCGTGCACAAAGGGCCACTCACACATGCTGAGGTGCGTTGCTGTACGAGCCATGCTCCAGTTTCTGCCAACGGCCCAAGTGAGCCGCCGAGCGATGAAGTAGGTCGCAGTAGCTGGGGGGCAGCAGCTGACTCATCAGCATCACAAACGCATTGATCCACACCATGATCAGATGCTCGCATGACCAGCGCATGTCATAGTACTGGGTGCTCTATGGAAATCAAGCATCAGAATGGTAAAAAATTTTGCAAGAACACGAGCAAGACTGCAGGCAACTTAGGTGAAGGTGGAACATGAAAACCTTTTGGAAAAAATCTGGACTTTGAAAATCAATGTAATCATAAAAGGGGAAAAAAACAAAAGTGACAAATACCAACCTTGACAAAGCAGAGAGGCAGGAAGGCTACGTAGTACGCACTGAACAATGAGTTGAACAGCACTTCCTTGATTCGCCGATTGAAGTCACCCTTTAGCTCCTCTACCTCAGCTCGAATCAGCTCTGGTGTGTGCGTGTGTGTGTGTGGTGGGCAGGTGTGAGTGGGCATGTGCGGAGGGCTGGAAAACTGCTCTCGGAGGTTCTCTCGTAACAGAAAGAGGAAGTCACGTGGTCGAAAGAACGGGGTCTCTGTTAGGTCGGCCTGCTGGTGGTCAGATGCATAACTGCAGTCAGCCGATACCGCTTGGCTTTTCCCTCCCTCCTGATGGAAACAGCAGAGCGGGACGTACACACCAAATCTGGCATGGAGGGAGGGCCGTCAGTGAACGAAAGCAAAAGGACACAATAGCTAATTTTAAGTTTCAAATGATGGCAGGATGAATAGGAGCTGTGTGATGTGAAAACACAAAAAGACAGCAGCATGCTCACTATACTGAAACACCTACATGACTCACTAGTTTAAGAAAAATTACAGTGATTTATTCTTTTTTTTTTAATGCTGAACAGTTTAGGTTTTATTAGCAATGTTTTGATTGGAATATGGAAGCAGATTTCCTCATGTCAGTGACTCCTAGACCTTTGTGGCACATACGCAATTTCAACAAAACACAAACACATCAGACTAAATGATATGTTTTAGTCACTTCATTCAGACTTTGACGCCACAGTAATAAAATCTAATAATGCTAACTGATAAGACATAACATTACTATTCATTTGATGACTCCAGCTCTGGATTTAACACCAACACAACGTGGGCCAGGTGTCAATATGACAGTTATGGTAATCAGAGTACTGTGAGTCTTGAGCATCAAGAATATTTTACACAAGGTGGTAAATTACATTCCAAACAGCCACCCCTTTGGCTCCACCTCATGTGTATGTGTGACTTAAAGGATCATTGTGCTTATCCCCCAAACTTTTACAATGTTGGAATTGGGACTGCACCTGGCAATTTCTGCTCAAACTCCAACATTCACGCCCAGTAACAGAGTAAGCAGGGTCTGAAATTCAGTTTGATTTTTCATTCTTCACACAATTACTTCAGTTTTTGAAGTGCAACACTATGAATATCATTGAGTAGAGAAAATGTGAGCACTATTGTCCCCATATGTCAGATTCACTGTATCTTGTCCCTCTCTACGATGGTAGGCCTTTTGCTCCACCATTTAGAACAGGCATTAACACTTCTGCTTTGAAGCATGATTGAATGACAGCATACAGATGGTGGGGGTTAGGGGTGTTTCAAACACTCACGGGTATCCCAGGAAGAGGAGGTTGAGCACAGAGTGGTTCTTGCAGAGGTTGACCAGCGTCCAGCACAGGACCCAGCCACACATAGTCAGCAGGCAGAGCCGAGCTGTGATCAGAGTCACATAGCGGAGCAGTGATCCGCCGTTGCTCTGAGACACCTGGAAGAGACAGAGGACAGAATAACTCAGATAAGAGAGAGACTGTGATACCGCCATCACATGGGGATTAGATCCAGCAGGGGCTATACTGTATGTACTAAAATGTGTTGGCTGACTGCATATACAGGTTTGCATGTTTACCTCTGAAACTATAGTCCAAACAAGCCTCCTGGCCAACATGACTGTGATGAAGATAGCCAGATGGTAGTCCATTAGATGAAAGTTCTGTAGGAGGAATACAGAGGGAAGAAAGATGATATCATTTGTTTTCCTTCAAGACATTTTTAACAGTACAGTTTAACCACAATATTTGTTCAATGTCTTTTTATTAGACTATAAAAAACACTGATGGTAGTTCATTAATTCAGTACAAAAACCCTACAATACGTAGGTCAGTCAAGTTTGGACACACTGGTTCATTCATTCTTTGTTTCTATCAAAACTGTGAATACATATAACACAAAAATAGTGATAAACACAGCAAAATATGATTCACATTTTAGATTTCTGGCACTGTTTTGCTTGATGACAGCTCTGCTCACTCTGATCATCCTCTCAACCAGCTTCATGTACTGTTATACAAGTGGCATTGGCTCCTTCCACTCAAATACAATGGTTCTCCTATGAACACTAAACAGACAAATCTGCACTGCTATGCATTGGCTGAATAAAAATGTCTGTTTTCAAGATCCATCACTGAAATACACCAAAAAAACAGGGTAAGGTTCATCATTTTTGGTCCTCACCACTTTCACTAAAACCTTTTCCAGTAGATAACTGGTTTTTAACCCAGGCATTTTGCCCTTCACATTTAGAGGTTGTAGTTACTGGTGCATGACAAGGCTGTTCATTGTAGTTTACAGTAAACCCAGTCTCTCAACCACAACACGCAACGTGTTTCCAATAACAGAAAACAGAGATAAATGAAAGTGAATACAGAAGCAACTCCAAGTAAACAAACAAAAAACTGCAGAAGGAATTTTTAATAATCTGATTTCATTCAGCTTTTAATGTTGAAAATACTAGTAAATTCTAAATTTTAAATAACAAAAAACAAAAATGACTAGGTCTGTTCTTGGATATCAGGTGTTTGAGTTTAGGATAATGTGGGAATCAAGCCTGTATCACACTCTGTGATCACTTCAGAACAGAGCTGATGTTGTGTGTTCGTATTCTTACAAGAGAGGTAGAGGTAGCAGGGTGGCTGTATGGGTACCACCACACCGTCCTGTAGATGTTGATGTACTGGACGAACATGGCCACCAGCAAATAAAGAAAGAGCAGGAATTCAAACAGCAGGCTGCTGTCTAATGGCAGCTCTGGGATCCTCGAGTGGCGGACCGGCTCCGGAGTAATGAAGGCAGAGAGTGGCGGCGTAGACAGACCTACAGAGTTACTGCTCCTGAAAGAAAACATACAAATGTATGCAAACTCAGACAGATGTACAGTATCTGGGTCATGTCACACCTACTGCAAGCTGTGTGGAAAAAAAACATATATACAGTACAATCCTCTACTTCTCAAACCATGACTGTAAGAGCAATAATCTCCTGGTGGAGTAAAGAAGATGTGAAGCTGTAATTGCTGCCAAAGAGTCTTCTACAAAGTACTGAATTTAGGGTCTGAATACTTCCTGAAAATGAAAGTTTTCACTTTATGATTTTTAATACATTTGAAAACAAAAATCCTATACATTTGTCTTTGTAATGGCAATTTTCATTTTATTCACTTATATTGTTCATTTATACATTAAACTGTAGTCTGCTAATAACTGTGGTTAATTCTCACATTGGATGTGTGAACCTGGTTTTCTACTGACGTACTGAATGCCTGAAGTATCTCTGTTTTCTGCGTAAGCAACAGATGTAACATCAACAGTCCTTGAAAGTATCTACTTCTGCTATGAACCTCTCTGTGCCTGGGAAGACAGGGACTCTGTGAACACAGGTGCATGACTGTTCTCAGTGTACACTCCCTTGTGTGACGTTTTCTTCTGCCTTATATTGAACCGAGCCTTCCTTCCTTCTTGCAAGAAATAAATAACACAAAAGACATTTACCTCAATTCTCTTTATTTCACACTCACTGATGGTTGTTCATTTATGATACAGGAAAAAGGAATTTTTTTTCCTCAACATCTTCACCTTGTCATTATGTGTTATTGATTACCGAGTGATCAATTTAAAACTGTCACCTCACTGCAAGAAGATTCTGGGTTCAAGCCCCGGCCGGCAACATTTTCTGTTTTTAAAAGGTGATTGAATTAGGGTGACTAAAGGTTAACATCATTCATCTCCTGATTATTTTTTCAATTTCACTCAACAATCTCACACAGAATGGATTATGCTGAAAATTTAAGATGGATGTTTGGTGTGTCTGCTCTGACCGTGTCGCTCCCCACAAGGAAACAGCAAGCTAAGCATAACAGGGAATATGGACAGATAACACTAACGTCCTGGCAAAGGCATACAGGTGCATGCTGGGGTGGAGATTTTGAAGCACTAAATGAACGTCGGCAACACGTGTTGTAGCAGTGGGCATGTAGCAGTGGGCATGTAGCAGAGTGAGCAGAGCACTACTAGCATGAGTGAATCACCATGGCTAAAATCTTCACATATGAGAGGCTGGAACCAGAGACGGGCATTTTTACTTAAAGTACAATTAATCAGTTATATTGATGATTCAGTTTTTCCTTTGCTCAATTAACCAACTAAACCTTCAGCTCTAGTTAGTAATACCAAACTGATTAGATAACACTAATTTCAGAGATAAAACTCCCAACAGACATGCAAAATTTACTGGCAACCATATTTCTGAAGCAAGTTTGAGTTTAATATGTGAAGCAATTTCAGGACAGGGCTTTAAAGGCCGACTGTCACAAGACAACATTTACAGTATAAAACATGGGCTGGCCTACAAACAGTTTAGAGAAACAGTTTGGTGAAAATATTACAAATGTGCAATGTATTTATTATTAGTCTATTAGTATTATGTGATATTTTTCAAAGCGAAATCCATACAAAGCTTTAATGACCTACAGCAGTGAGTTCACGATATTTTAAATAAACCAGTTCAGGCCAATACTGTATGATGAACCCAAACACCTGACGCAGAGGTTCTGTCCATCTGTGTGTGTGTATACCTGTTTCTGAGGCCTGTACCATTGCCGAGGTTGCCTCCAACCAGAGTCTGCAGGGATGGCAGAGCAGAGCGACTTAGCTGCTGTCTGCTGGGACCCCTGCGACCTCCTGGCATGGTCGCCAGTTACCGAGGTAACCACAGACGCCACCCACCAACCAAGAGCTGCTTGGATTGCCCCCCTTCTTCTCAATGAGCCACCATGTACAGAAAGGCCACTGTGAAGAAAACCAACAAACAAGGCTGAATACAAAAAAGTATGACAAGTATGAAACAAGTAAACAGCAGTGAAATATGTCTGCAACTAACAATTGTTTCGATTTATTTTTATTTCACTTTGCCTGTCTTTAATGTACCTATAATATTTGTCAGTGTTTGGAATAGTGGCTTGTTATCTGAGAGGTTGATTAGCGGCAATGGATGTGTTTGACTAGTTTACACATCTTCGAAGAAAAGGGATTCATGATAATTATACACTTTCAAGACTTGTAATGTCCCTGCAAAGCACAACTTAAACACACTGGGCTTCAGGTTATACATCTGCCTGTGGCACCAAACATATTCACTGTCTTTCGTGACATATAAAGCCAAGATATTGAATTATTTGTATTAAAGGAAGCTAACAGTGTTGTAGCCGTGTGTCCCTAAAAACCCACAGCACCTGTGAAATAACCAGGTTAAATTGTTTGGGTATGAAATGTTTTTTCAAGCACAAGAATCAAGCGGCAACCTGCGAGGCTTAGAAATGAAGCCAATGAATAAGTGCCAAAACCTGCAGTTCCTTGCATGGCCACTTGAAGCCGACTCCAAAAGGGAGTCAGTCCCCACAAACTCCCATGTTGAAGCTAACTCTAGAGCAGAAATAAACACGTTTACAGCCTGCTATGAAAAAAGGTTTTGGTCTCTTTGACCAGTTTTTATACACAGTCAGTGACAAGAATCTGCACTTTGAAACATACAAATGAACTCATGTTCATGTTAATAAATTCACTGAGGTTTGAAAAAGCAAAGAGCAAAACCTCATTCTATTTGTCTGTTTGGCAATGAATTGATAAGCCCTCCTCAAACCAGCATCAGGTGAATGACATGTTACCATGACATGAACTACACCAGCCTGACATTTCAGCTGCTACTAACCAGCCAGGGTTTTCCCCCCCAAGGAACTTATTGAGCAGAAGTGGTAAGCCACATATGTCTTTCTGTATCTGGTCAGCTCTAAGTGTATAAATAGGATTGTGATGCAGTGATGAAATTATTTGGTAGATAACAGCCTACGAACACCACACACTCATTAAATTTACAGCATTTGTCATGTGCTTGATTCTGAATGCTCATATTTAATTTCATTAAAGTGGATTAAAGGTAAGGTTGACGATTCCGTCCAGAAGCATTTTTTTGTTCGTGTCGTTTCAAGTGTCATCTTTATGTCTATTTTAGTTTGTAATGTTGACTGTGTGTTTTGCACTATGCTGACAGATGCTGCTAATATTGAGTCTACTGTAAATTATGTAAATGGGGTGGAGAAAATATTATACACTCCTCTCAGCTCAGCTCCACTACAAACTACATCCTTTAAATATCCTCTTTAAAGCACTTCCAACAAAAGCTGAACATTATAACCTCAATGAAGGGACAGTTTGTTATAGGACCATTAAATTAGACTGGACTAGGTTTAGGTGTACTTAATAAACTGGCAACTGAGTGTTCATAAACTGCCTCAAGATAAATAGCTATCCCCTGGAGGGTTCATGTCATAGAAAACAGTTCTGCTGCTAGATCAGAGAAGCATCACAAAGCCTTTGTGTTGACAACGCTCCTGGCTATTGTCAAACGGCTGCAAACAGAGCTGTCATTAATCTACAACCAGCCACAGTGTCAGACCTGCTCGTATGCAGTCTGACTGCCTTGGCTCATGCGGGAAAACAATCTCTTGGAGGTGTTTGCTGAGGCAATGACAAATTATAAAAGGTCTACATGAACTGACTAGGCAATATGTGGTCGCTGATTCATTCAACAGCGAACTTCTCTTATTTTTGCTATGTTCTTCTAAACATGGAAACTGACACCCTGGGAGCCAAAATATCTTCTGGGGACCATGCCTCCATCTCCTCTCAGCTCATCTCCCAGGCTACAAGTACAAATGTCTGTTTCATTCATAAATGCTGACGAATGACCTATTTTCATGACGCATATCTTAACCTGTCACAGTTGGAGCATTACAGGTGTAAGCAATAACTTTAACAGCATGCAGTAAACCATCCACAACAATACTATGGCACACCCAGATGGAAGGCAACCAATTATGCTGCTATTGTTCACACCTGGGCTTTTCCTGTGGTGACAGGTCACAGCAGGTTGTTCTCACTCTGTGTCTGAAAAAGTCTGGACAGATATGACCAGTTTCATATTCACCTGCATGTTAAACCCATCAGAACTGGAGCAAGAGGATATTATATTTTTTGTTTGTTGCAAAGAAAATGAACTGCTTTGTGATCACTTGTCAGCACTTTGATTCATATGGTATGCACTGTATAATCCAACAACAACATCGGTTGATTGTTTTGAATAATTTTAACTCAAGAATGTAAGTTTACACAGTATAAAAAGACAAATACTGAATGTCTCTTTGGAGGTGAAACAGCTCTTATTTTGGTAATGCATTGATTTTTATTTCTTATTTCTATCTATTGACTGTTAAGTCTACAGAATATATAACAGTGATGAAAAATGTTTATCACAATTTCCTGAATCCCAAAGGCCACATCTTAAAATAGCTCATTTTGTCCAACTAACAACCCCAAACCTAAAGATATTCAATTTGCAATGATGTGGAAAAAAGAAAATGTAGCAAATCACTCAATTTCAGAAGCAGTAACGGGCTAATGTATTGTATTTTTCTTGATACATTCGTTTTAATTTTCAGTCCATAGATAATGGATTAACCAACTAATCATTTCAGAACTAGTTTGTTTAAAGCGGTGTAGACACACATCAGAGCTGATATGATAAATGAATCAATTTACTGTTAAGGTAATTTATCAAGCAAAAATAAGACTTAATCCCACTGTCACCTTTCAATTATGAAATTCTGGAGCCTTTTTTTCTGTTTGACTGACAAAAATGAGATATTTTGGGGTTTTGGACTTGGTCAAACAAAACAAGGTGTTCTGGCTTTAGGAACATGTCCGGTCATCATTGCAACATTCTCTTACAGATTTCGTAATTAATCAACTGACAGAAAATTACAATAAATTTGATAGTCAAATAATTGTCTTTTTGTGCAAAAATGTCATCGCTTCTCACATGAGGATTTGATGCTTTTCATAATCACACAATTGTAAACTGAATTTTTTTTATTTTAGATGTCACCTTGGTCTGTGTGAAATTATAACTAACATTTATTACTATTTATTGGCATTTTCTAGTGTAAACAATTAAAAAAAAATATTGGCATCTTAATCTATGCTAAAAATAACTGTGGTTTCAACTACAAAATTATAGGCTAATTAAAAAAATCCTATCCCCTTTGTAGGATTAAATGAATTACAGTCAATTACTTTATAAAATAACTTTTTATAATCACTGGTCAGTGGCAGTTAAAAAAAAAAAAAAAAAAACCCCTGCCGCCGTTTATCAGTCAGTGATAGACCTCTGACACACACAACACAAACCACAGACTGATAGCATCCAACCTCTCAGTGTGTCCTTTATGCTGACATGGCTTATGAAACATGGTGGGAGTGATAATACAGCACCCTCTGCAGCCAGTGTGTAGTCTAAATATCAAACACTGTTACAGCTGAATCTTCAACAGGAAACAGCCCTTAGCAAGCACAGCAAGAAACAAAAATGGCACCTTAAAGTCAAAAGTGGAAACAGGAACTATGATTTGGAGAAATTCACTACAATGGAGCGATGGCAGGAGAGTACTTTTTAACTTTGTGGAAGTGCAACACGTTTCTTGTTTTCACCTGAAAGTGAAAGCAACCAGGAAGTTGGGAAAAATGTGTCTGGAAAAACGATTAAATGTGTTTCTTGGACAATTGAGACTTTAAGTACTTCGCTCTTTGTTGTTGTTGTTTTTTGTGTCTGAATTATGACATCTGGCAGCGCTGTCATTTTGTAACGCTGGATACACGGAAGAAACTTGGGAACACACTTTCATAGGCGTTAAAATACAAAGATGCAAGTGTACAGCTAGCTGATAGCTTACAGAATCAAACCTAGATGGTTTTTAAAATCCCCGTAAAACAGTGGTTACTTACGCAACATGGATAACATACGTTTGGTGCGACGAACAAGGATGCATCAGTCAGACGATGTGAGACGAGTCCACACAGCACCAAGCATTTCTCAAGCCTTACAGCTTCAATATCTCCGACTCCAATGATGTGGCGGTGAGTTACGACAATACCGGCAATGCTGAGGGATAGCTTTGTCTCCAACTACAACCATAAAACGGGTTTAAAAGTTAGACCTGGGCTGTAGGATCAACAGTGTAAATGTAGAGACCGACGTGGCAAACCAACACCGCCTCTCCGTGGACGTCATCATTATGCGACTCAAACGACAATGCGCAGCCGCAGTTCGACAAAACAAATGGCTGGAATGGCGAAAACAGATGTACCCCATAGACACGGTACACGCGTGTGTACCTATGTGAGGGATATATGTATATTGAGTTAGCGCTTTTGCCTTCCATTTAACATTTATTAATGACATTTTACATTATTAATGACTCGTAATGATTTTATCGGTGGCAAAATGTAACTACCTGTAGCGGCCTAATTTGAATAACCCTGAGGTTCACTAGGTTATATCAACCAAGTTGTACCGTACTGTGTATGAATTAGGACCATTACATTGCCATTCCAGCTAGGATAGGCCTTTCATTAGCCTACCTACTGAATATTGTGGCTGACTGTATTTATCAAACTACTAAAAATACAATTTTGAACTTAAGTGAAAGGTCAAAGTGAAACCTTTCATTTTCTCCTACTTACATTAAAAAAATTATAAAAAATAACTAAACAAACAAAAAAATAAGTCTTATTACAAGTAGCCTCACTGACATCAAAACCTGGGGCAAAGTATTCCCATTCCAGAGATTTCTTTTTTATTATTTGAAAGACAAATGATCAATAATACACAATTAAATATGCCAAAACCCACAGATGTTCAGTTTACTATCACAGCTATTAAGTGAGCATTCATGCTGCCATATTTGCCTAAAAGAAGATTAAGTGACTAATCACTTCTGGTCTATAGCCCTGGTTGGGTTCAGGGGGCCCAAGGAAGCCATGACATTGTTACCTACATTGGAGGCCCAAGAATAAATTATGTTAATCTGAATAATATGAAGTTATGTGTACACAATGTTACCACAGTGTTCAGAAAGAAATGTAAATATTATTGAAGTCAAAACTGGAATAAATACAATTTTGTTCAACCCGAAAGGTAAAACATTTATTATCAATATTATTAAAAAAACACAATGTACTGTGTAAAAAGGATGTGGGAAAAGTAAGTCAGTTTCCAGAACTGTACATGTTGATTTTGCACTAACTGTAACAGAAAAAAGGAGGGAAAAAAGCTGCACTGTAACATTGTTGACATTATTTCATTTCCTATATGTCAACATGTAAATTACATATTTACATGCAGTGTGTACAGTTACTTGTTAAGTGTAAATACTTCATCTCATTTACAAACCACTTTACTTTGTGAGGTTAATGGTTACACCTATTCCTTCAAAACATTTGTAAAACAGGTGGACAAAAGTCACTTAGACATCCAGAAGATATGAAAAATAATTATTTACAACAAATTATGCTGCTTTAAATTATTAAACTAACAAGAACTGTCATTTGCTTTAGTGACCCTGAGTCATTTCCTCTGCACTTTATGGTCATTGTTTTATTGCTTTGTCACATTTAATTAACTGTAATAATCTTAGTTTTTCAATTGTACAGTTATACGAGATTATATGATTTCAAATACAATAAGTTTTGTCATCATTAGCATTTCTTTAATATTTTTCTCAGTGTTTTACAAAGTTTTATGGCCGTTCTAAACAAATAACCAGGACATTAAAAACTGCAGCAAGCAATGAACTTGTTAATAAATCAAGGTTTTAAAAAATGAATTTAGCTTTTACATGTGAATATTTGTAGCTTAGAATTAGGAAACATTACTTAAAAACCAAAGATGTTTAAGTGCACATCTTTATTTCTAATTTCTGTCAAGTTCTTTAAGTGTCTCTTGAATATAGTGGCCACATCTGAGAACAGACTCTGGGCAGTTGAGGGGGCCTGGGTGCATGCAGGGAGGTAACTCAGCTGATGGCACACGTATGTATGCATGTATGGCCCTGATGGGCTGGTCCAGCTCAGATAACTCTGGATCATTCAGCCTGTCCTCTTCCAATAGTCAGTGTCTCACTTCCATGTTTGTTTTGTTGCCTCATATTTGAGATCAAACCATCTTTTTAATTCATCAGTTGCGCACCCTTCTCCTTATAGAGTGTTCACTGAATGAGCACCCCATGCTTCTCTTTTGTTTTACTTTATATCCACTACTGATGCTACTAAATATGGCAGCTCAGTCATTGTTCTCCACTTCATAACTACTCAAGTTTTTCTTTGGTTTGGAGTTCATTGCTCCACCATCTTTAGATTTTCAATGTAGCATTCCTGGCTTTCTCTACTTCTCTTTTCTGCTTCTGTGTGAGATTCCTGTGTGCACACGCCCCTGCAGTCTTTTGGCCTTTTTTGGGCATTGGTGGGGTGTTAACCTATGCCAATTAGGAATGACTGGCATGCACTTTCAATTTACAAACACATGTGATTCATCAATGTAAGAACATGCAGTGAACAATTCTGAGGTTTAAGAATATTCATGAATCAGACAGACTTTTCTTAGGATCTTTCTTGAGAACAACTTACTAACAAATTTAAGGAAACACTCAGGAAGATTTGGTGAATGTGACCCATTAGTCTTAAATTAACATCTAAAGCACATAGTGGTTTCCTTACTGACAAAGCAACATTTGCTTTACCACCTGCACACTTTCCAAATTTTAGAGTATTTCAATCTGCTACTTTATGAAATCCTGACACCTTTCACCTGTTAAAGGTAATAAAATAGCTGGTTCATGGTTGTTTAATACATAAAAACAGTGGGATTTAAAGGTTTACCAGGAGCCAGACAACAACATGGTGCATGTTCTCTGAAACAGAGGTCACAGGGCGTTTCACAGTTGGAGCGTTCAGATGACGACGCTGGTGCCACTGCGAGAGCTCTTGTCCTGAGAGAGACGGACTAACTTTAGATTCATTTTACTGGCAAACAGCATAACTCAGATGTTTATTTGTTTTTTTATAGTGACTGTGTGTTTATCTTAATACAAGTGCGTTGGTGTAGTTGCAAGAGTGTGTGTCTAATATCTAAAGCAATGAGTTTCTTACAGAGTGGTGTCCATTCCTCCGTGCACCTGGTTTCTGTCCAGGCTCGTACTCAATGTAGCTGGCAGGTTTGTCAGCCCAGCCTCCTCCTCCTCCTTTTCTCCCTCCTCCTCGTCTTCTGCTGCTGCCCTCATCATCCGAGCTCCAGGACCCTTGTCTCGAGTGCCGTGATGCAGGGATAGAGTATTTTCCTATGGATCTGCTGTCAAATAGGTCATCCCTGGAATGGGAGCGGGGGCGGTCCATGCCTCCTCGTCCCCCACTGCGACTCTGCCCATCCAGGGAGTCCATGCTGTAGCTCCGGGAAACTCCTCTAGATCTGGCGGGTGAGGGGTAGCGCCTACTCCCAGATCCACGATTGTCTCGACGGCCAAAGCCACTACTCTCACTGGAGCTCGGGGGCCGAGTCCTGGGTGCAGGGGGTGGGATTCTGCCTTGATACTGCTCTCTTATTGGCGGAAGTGTGATGATGCGACGCTCTGTTGGGCCATCATCAAGGCCAGAGATCATACTGGGAGGACCAGATGAAAATGGGATGGTGATGGGCGCATGCTGGGGAGGAGGTGGCATCTGCTGCATGTGGTGGGGTGGAGGTGGAATCTGCTGCATGTGGTGGGGTGGAGGTGGAATCTGCTGCATGTGGTGGGGTGGAGGTGGCTGGGACTGAAGAAGAACAAACAAATAAATACCAACAAAATAAAAAAATGAAAACCACTAGTCATGCTGTACATGTCAGTAAAATACACAGAGACAAGAACTGTGCCCCAACACAAGAGTCGCTCCATTTTCCATTCTGTGCAAACAGTTTGGTGGTGGTGGTGGTGGGGGCATATTTGTTTTGTAACTTTCCAAAACAGACAACCTAACATTGCCATGAACGTCATGCCGTGACTGGCCAACTGTGCAGAGGTGAGAAAGGAGCTAGGCCGTGACACTACTATGACTTGATGTGACCCAATAAAAATGCGGGTTCATTTACTGCCTTGGCAATGATGTTTAACATTAATCTCTTCAACCTCAGCACTCTGCATTAGTATTATTCTTTTTGCATTAAACAAAGAACTGGTTGGTAGTTTGTGTGTAAGACTGATAAGACACTTGCTATGTTGCTGTGCCTTCAAACAGCTGCTACGACAATAAAGTAATGGTAGCAGCAAGTGTTTACATGCAAACAGTTGGGAATGACAGTATGACACAATAATCTGATGGTGTTCTGTTTACATAAATATATTTGAGACAAGGGTGGTTACATACCTGTAGAGGGAGCAAGGGGCTAGTCATGTCCATCCCTTTCACCTGGCTCTCCAGATAATCAAGCATCTGTTTGTTGTTTGCATTGGCATGGTTGCTATGGACACTGGGAGGAGGCATGCTGTAAGCTGAAGACTGAGGAGGAGGCAGGGGCATCGGGCTCATAGGGATGCCTTTACCTGAAACAGATCCTGGAGTTGCAAAACCAAAACAAAACGTTAGCTCATACAAATCCAGAGGCATTTCTGGTTAAATATCCACCAACAGTCTAATGCTACAGTGTGCTCTTGAGCTGACCTGCTGTGTTAACACAAAGTGTGTGGGTTTACATGGGTACCTGAGTAGAGCATTGGGTTCATCGGGGAGGAGGCATGACTCATTGGTGCATATATTGGCTGTCCTCCTAACCAGGGAGACATGGCTCTCTGAGCCTCCTTCATCATACGATGCTGCATCACCACTGAAAGATGAGGACAGAACACTGATTAAGAAAGAACTTCTCCAAGTACACAGGCTCTTTGTCTACACTGTGGCTGACATATTTCGAAGCCCCTGCATATTTCATCAACAGCAAATGTGGTATACTGTGCACATTCAGACAAATTTTATATGTATCAGGTAAGCTGACATTCAGACTGAGTACGGTAAAACGCAACTACCTGCTGCGTTTTTACACAAGGGGCTGTGTTGGTTCGGGTTGAGGGGTTGCAGCAGGAACATTGTAGGCGAGTACAGTATGGCCACATTGTGACGAGTCGAGGTGAGCGGCTTCATTCATGTTTCCAGCCCATGAGTTTCCATTGTGTTTTGGTTAGCCACTAACGTAGCCTACTCTGTGTCAGCACTACTTTCTACCACCAGTGTGCCGGCACCGATCCAACACTTATAAATGGATGGCGTGTCATTATGGTGCATTTGTAACTGTGGCCCAAATTCAAGAGTGAATAGCAGTGAATGTTTATGCTCATAATCAGAGTCAAAATTAAATCAGAATCATCTTTAATTGCCAAGTATGTTAGAATGCACCGGAATTTGACTCCGGTACAGAGGCTCTCAATGTGTTGTAAGGCAATAGGAATAGAAAATAACAATGACAATAAAAATAACAAGTAGAGCAATAAAAATGCGAATACGAATAAAAACTGTGCATTCAAATAGGAAAGGAATGAGAGGAAAAGTGAGACAGCTTGTATAAATATATGTACAGTACAGCAAAGGAACTGTTCTCTACCTTTTTCAGGACAGCAGCATGCTTGTGGGCAACAGGGACAGCGAACATAGCAGCAGCACACTTGAGGGCAGCACTGGCAGCAGCAGATACAGATGAGAATGAGGAGGAGGAAGACTCCCATAATGATTAAAAGCACTGTTAACCAGTCTGAAAAGGGAAAAGAAGAGGCACGCTCAGTGTGGTATGCTCAAAGAAACCAACATCTTCTTGACAGGTTTTTATATATATTCTGATGTTAAAGATACACCCTGATTTTGTTACTGCTCATCTCAATTTAAGTTGTGAGAATGAAAACTGGGGTTATAAATTTTATTTATTTATTTTTTTTAACTTTTGTTTCTTACTGTAGACGATGAGTATGACTTCTTGGTCACTGTCTCCAGTGGTGTCTCCAGAAGCATCAACAGTGCAGAAGTACACCCCGTTGTCCCACCACATCACTTCAGTGATCACCAGGTCTGCCTCTGTACAAACAAACACAGAAGGTACTTCCAATTAAACTATGGTCAAATTTTAAACCATCCATTTCTCTTTTTATACAGTGCTACACGTTACAGTTCAACAACAAATGCACAGTGGGACTGTTCAGAAACTGGTCATGTTTGCAGTGCAACCTGTCTTCCAAGTAAAAAGGTGTGTCAGTCTGTCACAGTAGTTGTCAGGGTGAAGGGTCTTCTACTGTAAGTCCTGCACAAACATTTTCAATTTGTTCTATTGATCAACCTTTTGCCAGTTACAACTGCAACTAGCAATTATTTTCAGTAGCAATTAATCCACTGTTTGGATTAGTTCCACCATTATTAATGAATTGTTTGGCAAGGTAACTTTGTTTACAGAGCAAATTTTCATATACGATGGCAATTCAAAGTGCTCAACAACACACATAGATGGACAACACGTTAAAAAGCATACAGAATGCACACAGAAAGATAAAGCATTAAAGTGCATACAGTATATAGATTAAACGATTTAAATTACACAAAACATTAACTATTACTTCAAAGCAACAATTATATGACAGTACAAGTTACAACATGTATGAGTAGATACCTAGTACCTTTAGTACAGCTGTGGCAGACTGTGGATTCTCACTGTTCTACATCAGTGTCTTTAAAATGCCTGTTACAATCTCCCAGAGGCCAATGTGGCAACATTTCTCATGCCTCTAACAGTACAAAATACAAAAACATAACTAAAACAGGAGACCAAGAAAAACACAAAATACTGGTAATTTGCTAAAACCAGTGGTTCTTTTGACATAAAAGACCTAAATGATTACTAAATCATTCCAATTTCTATTGACTAATTTATTATTCAATTGATCATGTAGCTGTCGTATTGTTAACAGGGAAAATAATTGGTGAAACAAAGAATTTAATGACGATGACAAGGGTTCTGTAATTCTTAAACCCATATTTAGTTGCAAAACCTGACCTGTGCTGGATGGGAAATATATTATAGTGTTTGCATGAACTTACTGTTTTGGATGGTGATCTTGCGTTGGCTGTACTCTCCTCCTATTATTGGCTCATCGATTCCTCTCTTCTGGATCACAATGCGTATAGTCCGCTGACTATCTTGACAGTCATTCGTTGGGTCCTGTCCTAGCTGTAGTGCAGACTGGTATGCTGCAAAACCAGAGGCCAAGTTTTTAACAAAACAATATGTGACAATCTTTCCTATGAATGCCATCCATATCCACCCTTTTTTAAAACTAGGGCCAAAGACTGAAGTAAATTCAGCACTTTATGGGCCTATACCTGATATGTTGAATGCAGGCAGCGTGAGTTTAAGGACTGCAGTGTAAATATGCTGGCCAATTCTCCGCTTTGGTGTAGACTGACAGTGCTGGGAAGCTACTTTGAAAGCTACTGATTAGGCTAATTCACTCTCAAAGTTTAACTACAGCAAAGCTACTTAGAAAAATCTAAATTGACAATATACATGATACAAAATACCAGTCAGATGAGTTTATGACCAGAGACCTAAACCTTTCCTAAATAAAACAGTCCCACCTGGGCTTTTTGCTGAATCGCAAGGAATGTTATATTTGTTGTAAACACATCTGGATTTTGTATTATCTGACTACAACTAAGCCAGTAAGAAAAAAAAAGCTTGCTTGTTTGACTGACTTGAGAACTGGTCTAAAAAAATGCACCTGTTGTCTTACTGGTCAGTTTAGTAACATCTGACTTGTACAATGTTAACAACTACTTCCACATTTTTAGACAGTATGAACAGCTTGAACACTAAATAATGGGGCCTATCTTTTTATTTGTCAGAGCACAATCTGTTTATACAGCACAAGTTCTTATCCAACAGGAGGTTCTGTCCGGCACAGACAATAGATGTCTGTGCCAATGTTGAAAGGCTGCTCATATGCAGCACTGTAAAATAAGAATTAAAAATTAATTCATTTCCTTTAACGCCCCCAAATTGTAGTTTCAGTAGTTAGCTACACACAAAAAGTAATTTAATTACATGATTCAGTGATGATCAAAGACTCCTCAACACTGCAGACTGAAATATCTCTTGGCTACTGGACAAACTGAGATGAATCCTAGTTTTGTTAATGGCCCCAATAAATCAAACCAAAAAAACAGTGCAAACACCTTCATCGTCCATGCAATTAGAGCTTAGGTTCAACAAGGCCTTACAGTACAGTTTAATGATACAATTCGTCACATTTCAAAGCAAGCTGGTGCAGTAACATGCAATGTGGCATGCTCATTAAGGATGCACAGAAAAGAGTGTTATATGCAATAAGTGTGAAAAAGACAGTTGTAAACAGCCTATAATACTAATAGCATACGCTAAATGCGATATTTAGACTAGGCTGCTTACATTTTGGACATTATCACTTTTCTGTCATTCTGCCCTGTTTAGGGTTTGTTTCTTACCAGCGGAGTAGTACTCCAGCACCGGGTCCTTGCAGAAGGACTTGTACTTCCAGGTGACCAGGACATCTCGGACGTTTGCACTGGTCGAGTAGTCACAACGGAGTGTCACTGATGCAAACAGCATTGTGCTGCGCTGCCTTTGAGGAACATTCACCTGAATACACAGCGACTCTGTGGAAGGACGTGTGTGTGTTAACTCTCAAAGTCAAGTAGGAAAAGTGTGGTAAGGGTGGAACAGTATGTGTGAGGGTTTCTCTCCACCATGAAGTTCAAAGCGGTAAAACCTGAAAAGCAGGTGGCACGGACACACGCGCAGGAAATGGGTTACTGCGAAACTACCAACCAACCATC